CAAGGGCCCTGCCGGTGGTGTCATCACTGTGCGCTCAGAGATGGGCGAGCCCATTCACAAGCTGGCCACTCGCGGAGTCAAGTTCTGGGCCGAGATGGACCAGAAGATCTTCAACCTCCCCAAGGAGAAGCGTGTTGCTGAGCTGAAGAAGAACCGTGACTACATCATCAAGAAGTTGAACGATGACTTCCAGAAGGTCTGGTTCGGCTGCAACAAGGAGGGCAAGGCCGTGGACCTCGAGGACATGACCTACGCCGAGGTTGTCCGCCGCCTCGTTGAGCTTCTCTATGTCAAGCACCAGTCTCGTTGGATCGATGGTTCCTACACTCGCCTGACTGGCGACTTCATCCACCGAGTTGAGGAGCGATTCACCACCGAGGCTGGCCGACCCTCTCTTCTCCAGAGCTACGCCGACCTCGAGGAGCCTTACAGCGCTGTTGACCGAATTCTCGCTGCCTACCCCGAGGCCGAGCACCAGATCATCAACGCACAGGACGTTCAGTACTTCCTCATTCTCTGCCTGCGACCTGGCCAGAAGCCCGTCACTTTCATCCCTGCTCTTGACGAGAACTTTGAGTTCTACTTCAAGAAGGACTCCCTGTGGCAGTCGGAAGACCTCGATGCAGTCATTGGCCAGGACGTCGGCCGAACCTGTATCCTCCAGGGCCCTACTGCTGCCAAGTTCTCCACTGTCATTGATGAGCCCATCAAGGACATTCTTGACAACATCCACAATGCCCATATTGCGGCTTTGACCAAGGACTTGTACAACGGTGACGAGGCCTCCATTCCTGCCATTGAGTACTTTGGTGGCAAGCTTGTTGAGACGGACATTCCTCTTGATGTTGAGGGTCTTACCGTCAGCTACGATACTCACAAGAACACCTACCGCCTTTCCTCATCACCCGCCAGCGTCATGCCCTCGCTCGACTCCTGGCTGTCCCTGCTTGCGGGCCCCAACCGCAACTGGAGACATGCTCTGCTGCAGTCGGATGTTGTTGTGCAGGGACAGAAGTTCCAGACCAACCCCATCCGACGCATCTTCGCCCCTGAGCGTGGCCTTTTCGTTGAGATCCAGTATCCCAACGAGCCCGCCAAGACGACCATTGTCGTCAAGGAGCAGCCCAGGCACAACCACTACGTGGATGTCATCGAGGTCAAGCTGAACGGCGACCGGGAGATCCTCATCAACATGATCAAGGAGACCACTGCCCTGGGCACCCCCGTTGCCTTGCCTCTGAAGTTCATCTACCACCCCGATGCTGGATACGCACCCATTCACGAAGTCATGGAGGGTCGCAACGATCGCATCAAGGAGTTCTACTGGAAGCTGTGGTTCGGCAATGACCCTCTGGACCTGGATGCCATGGTCACGAGCAAGTTCGATGGTGGTAGCACCACCATTACGGCCGAGGCCATCAACGACTTTGTTCACGCCGTTGGCAACACGGGCGAGGCCTTTGTCGACCGACCGGGCAAGATCATGTACGCACCCATGGACTTTGCCATTGTGCTCGGATGGAAGGCCATCACGAAGCCCATCTTCCCTCGCACCATTGATGGTGATCTCCTGAAGCTGGTGCATCTGTCCAACGGCTTCCGCATGATCCCCGGCGCTGAGCCCCTGAAGAAGGGCGACGAGGTGACGACCACTGCACAGATCAACGCCGTCATCAACCAGGAGTCTGGAAAGATGGTCGAGGTCTGCGGCACCATCACCCGAGATGGCAAGCCGGTTATGGAGGTGACTTCCCAGTTCCTGTACCGTGGTGCCTACACGGATTACGAGAACACGTTCCAGCGCAAGGACGAGACCCCTGTTCGTGTACACCTGGCGACCCCCAAGGACGTGGCCGTGCTGCGATCCAAGCCGTGGTTTGCCCTCGATGAGATCCCTAACGAGATCGACCTGTTGGGCCAGACCCTGACGTTCCGCCTGCAGAGCTTGGTGCGCTTCAAGAACAAGACTGTCTTCAGCAGCGTGGAGACTCGAGGCCAGGTCCTGCTGGAGCTGCCGACGAAGGAGGTTATCCAGGTCGCCAGCGTGGACTACGAGGCCGGCGAGTCTCACGGCAACCCCGTGATTGACTACCTTGAACGCCACGGAACCCTGCTGGACCAGCCGATCAACTTTGAGAACGCCATTCCCCTGAGCGGCAAGACGCCGCTGCAGCTCCGTGCGCCCGCCTCCAACGAGACGTATGCTCGCGTGTCTGGCGACTACAACCCCATCCACGTGTCTCGCGTCTTCTCCGAGTATGCCAACCTGCCCGGCACCATCACCCACGGCATGTACAGCAGCGCCGCCGTGCGCAGCCTGATTGAGACGTGGGCTGCTGAGAACGACGTGGGCCGTGTTCGCAGCTTCCACGCTTCCCTGGTCGGCATGGTGCTCCCCAACGATGCCATCCAGGTCAAGCTCCAGCACGTGGGCATGGTGACGGGTCGCAAGATCATTAAGCTCGAGGCCATCAACTCAGAGACGGAGGAGAAGGTTCTGCTGGGCGAGGCCGAGGTGGAGCAGCCCGTGACGGCCTATGTCTTTACCGGACAGGGTTCGCAGGAGCAGGGCATGGGTATGGATCTCTATGGCAGCAGCCCTGTGGCCAAGGAGGTCTGGGACCGTGCCGACACTTACCTGCTCGACAATTATGGTAAGTTGACGATGAGAATCTATAGCCATCATTATACCGTGCATCTGACTAACTCAATTTCCCCTAGGCTTCTCCATCACCAACATTGTCAAGAACAACCCCAAGGAGCTCACCGTGCACTTTGGTGGCCCCAGGGGCAAGGCCATCCGCCAGAACTACATGGCCATGACCTTTGAGACTGTGGCAGCTGACGGCACCGTCAAGTCGGAGAGGATCTTCAAGGACATTGACGAGAAGACGACCTCTTACACGTACAGATCGCCCACTGGTCTCCTGTCGGCCACGCAGTTTACGCAGCCTGCCCTGACGCTGATGGAAAAGGCCAGCTTCGAGGACATGAAGTCGAAGGGACTTGTTCCCCGAGACAGCACGTTTGCGGGTCACTCGCTGGGTGAATACTCGGCGCTTGCCGCCCTGGCGGACGTGATGCCCATCGAGAGTCTGGTGTCGGTCGTCTTCTACCGTGGTCTGACGATGCAGGTTGCCGTCGAGCGTGATGCCACTGGCCGTTCCAACTACTCCATGTGTGCCGTCAACCCCAGCCGCATCTCCAAGACGTTCAACGAGGAGGCTCTTCAGTTTGTCGTCAACAACATTTCGGAAGAGACGGGCTGGCTGCTGGAGATTGTCAACTACAACATCGCCAACATGCAGTACGTGTGTGCTGGTGACCTGCGCGCCCTGGACACGCTCGGCGGAGTGACCAACTTCCTCAAGCTGCAGAAGATTGACGTGGAGGAGATGCGCAGCAACATCGAGGAGGCCAAGGGTGCGCTGCGGGAGATTATCCGCGGCTGCGCCGAGGCAACGCTTAAGAAGCCTCTGCCTCTGGAGCTGGAGCGAGGCTTTGCCACGATCCCTCTGCGAGGCATCGACGTGCCCTTCCACTCGACCTTTTTGCGGTCGGGTGTCAAGCCGTTCCGATCCTTCTTGCTCAAGAAGATCCACAAGACGACGATTGACCCATCGAAGCTGGTGGGCAAGTACATTCCCAACGTGACGGCCAAGCCGTTTGCGTTGACCAAGGAGTACTTTGAGGACGTGTACAAGTTGACCAACTCGCCCAAGATTGGCGCGGTTCTGGCCAACTGGGACAAGTACGTGCAGGACGAGGAGTCCACCGGAAGCGAGAGCGGTGCCAGCGCCGACCACGAGGGCGCCGGCCTGGCTGCTTAGGGGTTGGAAGAAACGCGGTGCAAGGCAGAGGTTGGCGTATGGGAAAATGGTTACCAGTGTTACGGTATAATATACACTTGATGGGACGGAGGCCAAAAGGATGCCTGATTGTTTGATGCTAGTTATGAGAATTCCATGATGATAGAAATGTAATGCAACGAGTTTTCTTCCTGACTTTATATTGCCATCTGCGTGTGATGTGTATTCTTTCAACTGTGGTGTTGGTTATATCGTAGTTTGGCCGTATTGGTCACGAGGACTGCCTGTGCCATAAGTAGCATCACCAGCAATATCGACTCTGTGGCTGATCCGGTCCATTATTAGAAACTGTCATTTCTCTGGATCAATTGATCAACAAGACTCGAGCTGAAGTCTCTCGCCGCGATGCCGTCTGTTCGACTGGCGTCTCCTTGCTTAATGCATCACCCACCAGCAACCAGCCCGATGACTAATCCCACTAACAAGAAAAAAGGCGGTACGATCCGTTTTCTGCCCGCCCTTCGTCGGTCAACGGCGACCGCCGCACCGTTTGTTGCCCAGCTCGATAACCTTTTCCCGCCCCTTGCTCCAGCCCCCCCTGGCAATTCCAATCTGCTAGTATGTACTCTGTTTGATGCTGTCTCCGCGATACCGATGCTATCTATCAAATATGGGGAAGGGGAGCCACACAGACGGCTACCGGGGAAGCTTGTGCGGGATCTGCCTATTTAAAGAGCGCTGACGGCATCCGTTTCTTCGAGACTTGGGATTCTGGGCTTCTTTTTCGGTGTTTGATCAAGGTGAGTTGCCATTGATGCTGTCCGTTTCTACTTGTCTTTTGTCTCATGTTGTCTCTGGTCGTGACGTACCGTTTGTTACCAGCTGCTGAGAAGTAATGGTACTACTTGAAGACTACGCTTCGTACGGACATACGAAAGTTGGTCCATTCTTGGTTACCTACCTATGCATGTGCTGCTGCTGTGGGGCTTCTGCTGACGATTTGGCTTCTCCTATTAGGACCACGGAGTGCCTATAAGAGGACTGATAAACTGGCTTGATCCCCTACAGACATTGAAGAAAGAGAAGGAATTGGGAAGAATACAGAGGGGGTCAAGGAAAAGAGAAGACAAGGCAGAGCTGAAAAGGGGGGAACAAGACACGAACTAAACAGAGAAAACATTTCAAAGAGCAATGTCACCGCAGAGAAAGCTGCTGCTGCTGGGCACGTTTGTGCACTCCAAAACGCAGCAGACCCTCGACATCTTCCACAGCGCGGGCATCGCCGTCGACGCCCGGGGCAAGATCGCCGCCATTGAGCGGGATGCGCCGGACCTGGGCGAGGCCAAGGCGCGGCTGTTGACGAAGCTGGGCTGGGACGAGGCAGAGGTGGACGTGACGCAGGCTGCGGACGGGCAATTCTTCTTCCCCGGCTTCATCGGTGAGTTTTTTCTCTCATATACCACAAAGATCTCATACATGGGCTCATTCATTCCCCCCATGAGAACCTTGTTGAAGGGACAACATTGAATGCTAAAACGCCCCTGCAAAAAAAAAACAGACACGCACATCCACGCCCCCCAGTACGCCAACGCCGGCATCTTTGGCAAGTCGAGCCTCCTGGACTGGCTCGAGACGTACACGTTCCCGCTCGAGGCCAGCCTCGCGGACCTGGCCAAGGCGCGCCGCGTCTACGCGCGCTGCATCCGCCGCACGCTGTCCCACGGCACCACGACGGCGACGTACTTTGCCACGCTCGACGTGGCGGCGACGAACCTGCTCGCGGACCTGTGCCTGTCCATGGGCCAGCGCGCCTTCGTCGGCCGCGTGTGCATGGACCGCGCGGAGACGAGCCCGGCGTACTACCGCGACGCCTCGGCCGAGGCCAGCCTGGAGGCGACGCGGCGGACCATCGAGCACGTCCGGCGCATCGACCCGGGCTTCGACGTCGTCTCGCCCATCCTGACGCCGCGCTTCGCCCCGTCGTGCACCCGCGAGGTCATGGCCGGGCTGGCCCGGATCCACCGCGAGACGGGCTTGCCCATCCAGACGCACGTGTCGGAGAACGCCGGCGAGATCCAGCTCGTCGCGCGGCTGTTCCCCGAGGCGAGCTCGTACACGGACGTGTACCGCCGGCTGGGCCTGCTCACGCCGCGGACGGTGCTCGCGCACGCGGTGCACCTCTCGGAGGACGAGGCCGACGCCATCGCCGGCCAGGGGGCCAAGGTGTCGCACTGCCCGTGCAGCAACACGTCCTTGACGAGCGGCGCGGCGAGGGTGCGCTGGATGTGGGACAAGGGCATCGACGTCGGGTTGGGCACCGACGTCAGCGGCGGATACAGCCCTTCCATCCTCGAAGCGGCACGACAGGCCGCCATGGTGAGCCGGCACGTGGCCATGAACATCCAGATACCCCCTGACGACGATGCCGCCGCTGCGGAAGAAAAGACGAAGGAGAAGGAGAGAGTCAAGCTGACGGTCGAGGAAGTCCTCTATCTCGCTACGAGGGGCGGCGCGAAATGCGTGGGCTTGGAGGACAAGGTAGGGGCCTTTGAGGTGGGCATGGAGTGGGATGCGCAACTCGTTGCTCTGAGCAATGTGAATGACGACGGAGAGCTCCCTGATGATGCTGCTGCTGCTAATGATGATGATGGTGGTGATGACGATGGGTTTGTGGATGTGTTTGGGTGGGAGAGCTGGGGCGATAGAGTGGCCAAGTGGCTGTACAATGGAGACGATCGCAACACGAAGAAGGTCTGGGTAAAGGGCAGGCTGGTGCATAGACGGCGATGAGCAAAAGAAGACGGTTGGATGTCCAACATACTACAAAGCTAAGAGAAGGACAACAAGGCAAAAGGATATCACGACAAGCGAAAACCATACAAAGGGGCCAACAACACTTTCTAGAACTGGGCAAGAAAGGGGGAAGGGGGGAGCCAAAAAGGAATACACTTAGAATTCTTGGGTTTAGAGGAGAGAGATTTCTGTATTGTCATCTGCATACTTTGGAGCAAATTTCTGAAGAAGAATAAAGAAAGAAAGAAGAGATAGAAGACTCTGACGCGTGTGGTCAGATTCGCGAACCCAAGTCCTTTCCTTTTCGTTTGGCCGTTTGATGTCTCTTTTTTGGGGTCTTTTCTTCACCTCCTTTTTTTTTTCTTAACAGCCTCCCCGTCTGAACCAGTTCGAAATGTATTTGATGACTCTTCGATCCATGCTTAGCCGCACCAGCCGCAGTAACAGACATACCCCGTCTCTCCCTCGGCATCAACAGCATACCCGCAGCTCTGCAACACCTCAATCGACTGCACAATGTTCGCAGCGTTCGCCGCCACGTCATTTACAGCAGCAGCCAAGAACTGCTGCTGTTCAAAGGGGTTGCTGTGAGGCTGCTGCTGGAATTGCCACTGCTGCGCCAGTTGCAAGCCCAGAGTCACGCACTGCTGCCGCATCGTCTGCTCTCCTTGATCCCTCTGCTGCTGGTAGTCCACCAGATGCCGCTCGGCCAAGTGGCACTGGGCCTGTCGGTGCTGCTGGGCCAATTGTTGCTGCTAGGGCAATTGGTGCTGTTGAGCCATGCCGCCCCGTCCCTGAGCCGGCCGATGCTGCTCTTCATCAGCTTGTTTCTGCTGCTGCTCTTCATGCTCCTCCTCCGGCTCGGATGAGTCCTGCAGCTCCTCCTCCGCCTGCTGTTCGCGCAGCATCTTGGCCTCCTCCTCGCGGCTCCTGACCTCGGCGCGGCGCTTGTTGCGCTCCGCCCGCTTCTTGGCCTCCTCGGCCTTCTTCGCGTCCGCGGCCTGCTTCTCGCTGTCCTTAACCCGGGAGTCAATCTCCTTGACGAGGCGCGCCTTGACGCTGGCCGTCACCTGATCCCACTCCTCAGTGCTGCCCCCCAGAGCAATGACCTTCATCCGAAACCAGAAGCACTCGGCCGACTTGGCGTTGAGCAGCTCGCGCGTGTTCCAGAGCGACTCGAGGCGCGCCTGGCGCGACTTCTTGGCCGCCTGGTTGTTGCGCTGGCGGTCGATGAGCTGGTGCTGCGCCGCGATCCTGTTGTTCTGGTCTTCTATGTCGCGGCGCTCCTCCTCGGTGATGTCCTCGGGGATCCTGAGGAAGTCCTCGATGAACGGCTTGGGAGGCAAGTCTTCGACCTTGGACGGCGGCAGAATCGGCGGGTTGTTCTTGTGGAAGTCAATCTCGGATTGGAGGGCATCTTTGCGGCGGGACTGCTCGGCTGCGGTGAGGCCAGAAGGGATGGCCAGGCCAAGGTCGCCGAGAGAGCAGCTGTCTGTGCGGAGGGCATGACAAGACGCTGATCGACGTCTGTTTGCCTGAGCTCGAGACGACGAGGCAGCCGCTGCCGTCTCTGTCATGAGCGGCACAGTTGCTTGGGCTTGGGCTGAGTTTGTTAGCACACGACATACGGCGATATAGGCAACTTGGGGATCAAAACGCCCCATGAGACCGGGAATAGACATGCTCATCTGAAAGGAAGACGAAGAACCCTCGCCAACGTCATATCCATAAGTGGAAGCAAAGAGACTGCGATCCTGCTGAGCGATAGCAGCCGCTCGAAGTCTCTTTGCCTGCCCATCTTCAGTCGAGGCCGAGGGCAGCGGGAGCGAGCGTTTACCAGAAGGCATGTTGAAAGCGCTTCTCGGTCTTGCTTTTGTGCTGCTGCGTATGGTGTGCGTGCTTGATCGTGAAGTCGAGAGACGAGCAAGCCAAGCCGGTGTCTCGAAAGGCGCAGATGTATGAAGACACAACAAGAAAGTGAGGCGATGGAAAGTAAACAAGCCGAGAAAGTAGGAGTAAAGTATCAGTCGGATAGTAAAGACCTTGCGTAGCAGTCATCGTCAGTAAACTCCTCACGAAAGCCAAGAGAACACATCAGCAAGCCTCACAACAAAGTCTCAAAAGCCGATTCGAAGATAGAAACTACGTGATCAGTAAAAGGCAACAGAAAGACGAAGGAAAACGATGAAGTCAGTAGAAGAAGCAGGCTGAAATAGAAGAGGTCGTCAGTCCTGCTCGTGCTCGTGCTCGCCCTCGTGTCGTCCGTGTCCAACCTGCCAAAGGCGAAGAGAGGAAGCAAAAGCCCTATGATGAGAACTTTGTAAAACGAGCATGGTTCTTTTGAGGTTCCTCCAAGAAGATCCTTTTGTCTTCTTCTCTTTACAGTTCCTTTGGCAGATGTGTGTACGGAAGATGGAGAGTTGGCAGTCTCAGGTGCAGGGAAATGACTTTTGGTGTGGTGAAGAGGTGTGAAGGGTATCGAGAAGTTTGCGTGTTGCGTGAGGGTGAAGAGGAGAAGAAGGGAAGAAGAGGAAGAAACGAGGTGGGGGGTATTTCTATGCTGCTCGGTTTGTTTCAAACGCGTGGGGGGGGGCAATAGGGGAATCGGATATCTGCTCACTTTCACTTCACGTTTTGCTTTCGATGTGCCCGGACTTGTCACCAAAATCAGGGGCTGTTGCACCTTTTCCTTTCCTTCCTTTTGCTTGCAATGAAGAGAGCATGTTCTCTAGTAGCCTGCCCAAAGGATACAATAAAAAACTCCATCCAAAATCATGACACACACACACGCTCATGAGGGTAAGAAGAAACACCACAATAGCAACGACATGCCCCATCCTCAAACACTGCCCACGCGAGAGAACCCGCAAATGGACAAAAAAGGGAGACTGTGAATCACTGCCATTTTCCACCCAAACCCCCCAGATGCCATCAAGATCAAGCCAAGCCATAAGTTCGGAAAGTAGCTCTACTGTTTTGTTCAAAACAGCCGTCAAACAGGTTACACATACTGGTCTTTCCCCCCTTTCTTCGCTCCGGACATATCGGAGATGCCATACATGCGCCTGCTCTTTGTCCCATCTTGTTGCTGCTCCTGTGAATCAAGCCTTCTCCTTCTACCGTGACTGATTGACGGAGAAATGAATCATGGGACTACCTCCATATTGTGTTTGGCTGTCCGGCTGAAGCGAGCAAACCAGCCGGCAAGGTGACGAACAGCTGGCGGGCCTCCGACATGCGTCACCCTCGATTGCTACAGCTGTGTCTAGTTATGTTCATCACATAACGTTCAAATTGCGGAAGCAGGCACCCTGTTCGTCTTCGTCGAGAGCTTCATATTACCTAGACATACAGCAATCTGTTTTCATATCCTCAATACCTCCGACAGCCCGCCCTGTCGCGACAAAGAGAAACCCCCGGTCCCAAAGCAATATACAAAACATGTCGTCCTAGCCAGTACCTGCCGTACACACAATCAGGGGATATCTTTTCCATCATAACCATAATGTCGCTCATAATCGTATCAGCCATGCCCGGCGCCTCAGCCCACCTAGACCATCCCTCAAAGCATCCCACCGAATTAAGATAGCCTCCCAACACCGTGAAAAAACGTACAAAGCAAAGCACGCCCTTGCCAACAAATGAAAAGGTTATTCATCTTTGCCACAATGTTGAAATATTGCAGCAGAGGCGACCCTCTTTGGGTCACCTTCGTGTTGTGTACCCTCCCGGGCCTTTCTTTATACCCATCGAGTGACCTCCTCAGAGGGCCAGACCGGTTCCGTTACCAGTCCATCGGTATAGTGCAAGAAGCTCGCGTCGTCGTTGCTGTTGCTCAGCCAGATCCTCCGGCACACGACCCCGAATCAGAGCCAGTGCGCTTCGCATGACCTTGCTAAAGTTTCGCTATCGTTCACGTTAGTCTTCGATTCACGGAAGGGTAATCCTTGGGGACAATTAAGCTTACCTGATACTCTGTGCTCAGCGTCACGACGCAAGCTTCGTGTGCTCGTACAATGGTCTCGCATGCCTTGATGACGCTTGGAGACGCTTCCGCCTGCAGCTTGTCGGCAATCAGGAGAAGGAGGAAGGACCCCTGCAGGAGATAGACGCCGTAGAAGAATGGCATAAACTCCAGGCCTGGGTCAAACTCAAGAATCTGGCTAATGGCTTCGGCAGCCGACACCGCATGGCTCGTTGCCGTCACGAATCCTTCCGACGAGATCCACAAGTCGTCGTCGTCTAGCAGGTTGATAGGATCCCACTTGTCCGCAAGGAGAATGTGGAGGACATGCATCACATGGGTGCTGTAAGCCACCACGATGCTGGCCTGGATCTCGCTCTCCGTCATGCGGCTGGACGCATTGGTCCGCACCGAGAGTGGAGATTGCATGTCTGTTACCGCTCCACTGTCGTGCATCTCATGCTGCTCCTTCTCCTTCGTGGACAATGGCAGATGCTTCGCCGCGAACCTCTTCAGGCTCTCCTCATACATGTCCAGGTGTCGGGTGATCTCGGCAACCTGCTCGTCCCAGTCCCGCGCAGAGCGGAATCCAACGCCGAACCGCGGGTGGCTTTTGGCATGATGGACATCCACAATCTCGCCCAGGATGGTCATAAGGGACAAGAAATAACCAAAGATGCTACGGCCGCGACATTCGTAATGAGCGCCGCGAGCAGCACGGGGACTATCGCCAAATTCGTCCGTCATGGAGCTGTCGATGTTGATGCTGGAATTGCCTGCGTCGTGGCTGCGGAATTTACCCGCTTGCCACTTGATGTCGTCCATCGGGTGGTACAGGTCGCTGCACTCGCTGTCCAGAAGGAATAGGGGGCGGTTGTAGCAGAGCGCCAGGTGCCTGTCGACGATGTAGACAAGCCACCAGGCTCGCCGCCTCTCTTCGCGTTCCTCTTCCGTCACGAAGCGGGTGTTGTTCCTGTTCAAGTCGTGCTCGTCCACGTCTTCGCTAAGGCCATCGCCCTCCTCCTGGTTGGCAGGTGGATTGCCAGGCGGCAGCTCACGGCCAAGCTTGAGCTCTCTGGCCAGCGACCATGCCGCACCCCACCACCGCAGGCTGGCGCCCTTGTACTCGCTGGCCGAGATGACCGTGGCGAGGTGCACATAGGTGATGACGTCGTCAAGGCTTCCTATGGCTCCAAAGGCGCCTGTTTCGCCGGCCAGTGAATCCATGTTCAACGAGCCCGGCATGGCCACCCCGAGGACTCCCAGGGCAGCGGCGCCAACGACGGGGCTCGTCTTGGGAGACGGGCTGTTGGTGCCGGTGTGGATCAGGGGCTGAAGAAGCCCGACCGTCAGCTCAAGCAGCTTCTGGCAGACTTTGCTCCTTGCCGACGGCAGGCTCGTCAAGAAAGACGCTTCGCTGGTCTGCGCCGCCACCCACAGCATGCTGGCAAGCAGCGCGGGCTGGCATCTTCTTGGGTTCGTGGGGTGCAAGAAGGAGCGCTTTCGGAAGACGAAGCCCAGAACGTATGGAGACATTGGGTGCATCTGTGCTGATGAAGACGAAGAAAAGTACAGGTCAATCAGGTCGCACGCCAAAGACACGGGAAGAATGGACCCCAGGTGAGGCAACAAGGGCTCAAGCACAGGATATCGCAGATCACTTTGCTTGTAGATGGGCTGCGGGAGCTGGAGCTGGAACTGGTTCGAAGGCGAGGCCAACGAGACTCCCCATGAAGGCGAGCTCCCATTTGCCAACGGGTACTCGTGGATGTGGCCGGTGCTGAGTCGAAAGTTGCCGTCGCTGCTGTAAGTAGCCGGACTCGGGGCTTGCGCAGCATACGAGATGCTGGAATACCCGGGCATGGTGGTCTGCCCGGCACCATACGACGGGGCCACCATCACATGGCCATTCATACCGGGGCTTTCATAGCCGGGGTGGACTTCACCATACGGGCCCAAGCCCATTGCCGACGACGTTTCCAACTGAGTTCTTCCCAGGGCAGGATCGACTCCAACGTGGCCATGGTGATCTTCCAGGCCATCCATGCCGCCCATCGTAGCATGTTGGGAAAGCCCGTTATCGCTGAAGGAACTGACGGAACCCTCGATGTGACCATGAGGCGGGTCATGGGCAGGCTGGGCAAGCTCAGCGCTGCCACGTGAAGACTCGCTCTGCTGGCGTGAGAGTTTGCGATGTTGATCCTCTGGGCCATCCTGGGCCTGGCCGGACTGTTGCGCTGCAGCTGCCGCGGCCTGCTGGGCAGCAATGTCCTTGCGCGAAGCCTTGCCTCGCTTCTTTCTCTCTCGGACGTACTCGCAGCCAAGGCCGAACTCTATTATCGATCAGTCTATCTGCCTGGACACAAGACGCATTATCATGGAGAGGAACGAGACATACCTATGCAATGGGCACATGGGTGTAAGCCATCGCACTTGGTACGCAGCTGGTTACACTGGTCACAAGCGCGACTGATCCTCCTCCTGATGGGCCCAGCAGTACCCGTTGAATTCTTCCTGCCAGCATTAAGGGAGCCTTGGCGTTGCTTTGGCTGCACCGGGCTGGCCCTTATCATACGCGAATTGGATAGTTCCGCATGTTGTGAAAGGTGCTGCATGGGATAGGGGTGGTTGTTGTTGAATGTGTTGACGTTGATCGAGTGGAGATGCGACTGTGACCCATGGTAGTTCGGGTCAAATGACGCCGAAGAGATGTCGGGATACGCAGAATAACGGCGGAGAGGATTTGACAACATTGTGGCGCGCTATAGTCGATGTGAAGATGTTGAACGTATGCTTGACCAGTTGTTGCTAAAGGGGGGATGAGGCGGCACGCGCTTGCTTAATCAGGCCGTGGAGTATAAGAACACGAAAAGGTTTCGCGGTATAGCAAAGCTCCGCTTCAGCAGGACTGAGAAACTCAGTCCGATCTGCTTCTCGTTGGTTGCGTGGAACTCGGCCTGCTGCTGTTGCCGGTGCTGGCTTTATGCCTCGGATGAAGCTGCGTTGAGGAGGGGGGGCTATAACCCTCACAGGGAGCAAACCACAACAGTATACTGGAAAAGCGCAGAAATCGCGCCAAGCTCTGAGCAGAAAAGAAGACCGAGAGCAGAAGCTGCTTCTGCCGCAGAGTAGATATCCAATGGAGGTGTTCAAGAGACTGGTTGACTGTTCGTTAGGTCGGCATTCTCCTGGGATGAAATGCTCGGCTGCGATCAATCGGTCTCTTGACGGAGACGTGACTCGCCGCCGATAGCCTTGACTGATTGAGTCCGAGGGTACTCCGTACAAATGAGGGGAAAGGGGAAAAGGCCAAACTGCCTATCGCGAGCGCGCCTTGACAAGCTACACGGCTGCCGGCGTGGCAACGACAAACCAGCTGACAATGACACAAACAAAGGTGATGCAGCAGAAGAGATGGCAGATTGGGGCAGAGACTGGGGGGTGTTAGTTAAAAGACACGATCAGAGAGAGCTCCATCATGGAAGTATTATATGGGGACTCTTGCAATTTTTATTGCTGTTCGCTCCTCGCACCGCACCGGAGGGCCTCCATAAGACAAGCCTTGCGAGGGCCCCGTAGGAGCACCTCGCTAGGGTGGGCGAGCCAGGCAGGGAAGCCGTCGATGGGTGTGGAGGCGGAGTTGATGGTGGCCAAGTGATGGTCATGGATGGATGGAGAATGGGATGGGGATGGAGCACCTTGTGGAGGTGGACTCGCGAGTGGAGATGCTGGGGTGCAGTGATGCACTCACAATTGGTGCGCCTTCTTAGGGCGACTGCTATAATGCAGATGCCCAAGGGAATTTCGGAGATACTAGTAACATCATGGCACTTGGTGCTTGCGAGCAGGTGTTTCCGTCTTGCAGTTCAGTTCGTGCTCCTCCTCCTCATGGTTCCCGGGCCGCCGCATCACGATCGAGAAAGGGGGGGTGAGGCAAGCCGCAGAGGGGTGCCATCCCAACGTGGCCATTACGCCCAAGAGACTGGCAACCGGAGCCCTCACGCAGACAGACAGAAAACGGACAAAAGAAGAACGGGAAGAAAAAGGGGCGAACCAGGCAGGCAGACAGGGCGCGCTACCAACCCGCACGCCATCATCATACATGTACAGTACATACATGCACAGGGGACGAGTGCGGGTATGAAGCAACTCCGGGAACGAGAAACGGAGCGGTTCTCACGCAGCGTCGCTGGTCGGCGAATCGACAGACCGTTTCAGAAAGATATTTAGAGCCGCGTGCCCTCCGACGTGGTTTCCGATACCCATCCGTCGGGCAACTTGCGGTGCCCGTCAGCTCTCCCAGGTACGTGCAGTAGCAGGTCGTTGGCAACTCGACGCCACGCGTATCGAACGGTTTATTGCCGTGGTCAGGACCGGTTTCAGCGGCGAACCATTATGCGGGGTTAGTCGTCGGCCGTGTGCCTGTAGTCTGGAGGTGAAGCTGGCGGTAGGTACCTCGTCACTTGGCAAGGTACTGCTTGGTCTAGCAGGCATCGGCGGCATCGTGACGGCCATTCTGGCTTCCAGTCTAGGCTGGCCCTCGTGCCAGTCCACGGCGCCTCTCTGCGGGCAGTGGCTGCTTGCTACTGCCGTTGACCAACCGCGGCCTCGGACCTGAGCTCAGCAAGATGGGCAAGTCGGAGGCGTTTCCCAATGGGTCAAGCCACTCTAAGCGTTTCTGGAAAGGTGTACAGGGGGGCCATGCGATGAATATGGGGTCGTCAAGTGGCGCCACGGTTTTGGGCTCTGCTGCCCCAACCAGACGAACGAAGAACAGGGCGTGCCGGGAAATGACAACCGGACAAGGGGAGAAACCAGAGGGAGTCGGCGCTCGGAAATGGTCTCCGTTGGGCTAAGCGAGGAAAAATTTTTGGCATCCCGCATCCCCTCATCTGACTGCATGTGGTTTGGTCATTTATATTGCGGCGATGATGGCGATCGAGACGGGCGAAGAGAAGAGAAGAAATTGACAAGAGCTGAAAAAGCAATGCGTCTGTGCGAAGTACAATAAATAGACAAGCCCGATACTAGTAGTTGTAGATGAAGGACCAACCGAGTCGAAGCAGCTGAAGCACCGAGGAGGAGAAGGAGATGGAAAAGCTGGAGTATGGAAGCCGGATACGAAGCTGGTCAGACTCAACCCTGAGGTCGTTGCGCGGAGAAGGAAGCCGCTTGCCGTCAGAGCAGGAACGCTCACGGGAGTAACCAAGCACCGCACCTGCCTGCGCCGTTGGGGACGAGCACGGGCCAACCAGATCGCACGGCAGACAGCTCTACTAATCCGTGTCTGAGGCTGTGATTGGATGGCCAGTTAGTGCCAGGTCCGCCGCCGCTTTAGAATACTTGAAGAAAATTTCAAGAGGAGATGGCAGCGGCTGCACTTGCCTGCCATTCTGTCCGCTGCTTGGCAAGTACGAGTACGGTATGGAGCAGGAAGTACAAGCAGAAAGCGGCAAGCACCTGAGCGAGCAGAGTGGAGGTTGGAAGGCGCCAAGGACTGCTGCTGGCTCGTGTCATCGCCCCACCTGCCCTTGTTCGGCACCGTTTCTTCATCGCTGCTGCTAGTCTGCATCGGCGTGCACTTGTCTGTACCTTGGGATGAGTGGCGCAGGGGGTCAAATGCTAGAGCAACGAAGGGTGGTGGAAGTACTCCGTGGTAGTACCGCGCCAGGATGATTTCTGGTCTTCTTCGTGTCGATTCGCATCGGCGGGCTGATTTGCTTTGTCTTTTTCTGATTTCTCTTTATTAAGGTAGCATCACTCAATTTGTGTGTGGCGCGCCAACTGGCAACCAGCTGCTCTTGGGGAGGCGAATCCTCAACACCCATTGGATGCTCAACCAGACCGTTCAAGTTGCCTGACGGGCCGCCGAGTTGCCAGAAGAAAAAGTGCCCGTAAATAGACATGAGGGTGGGAGTAACAACACAGAGGGACAAAGAAGTTGCTTCAGCGCTTCCACCGAGGTTGCCAAAGAATGCCATTGCCATTACCGGCGAGTCACAAGATGGCTATGTGGTATACATGACGAATCGCAAATATACATGCATGAGCAAAAGATCCCCGTCCCGTCCGCCGATCCCCACACTCTCGCTTTGTACAAGTATGTTCCTGTGTTTCCCCGGCTTGTCTTGACTTGTCTCGTCTTGGCTTCGTCTGCGTTGCCATGCATCGGCCGCTGAGCCATCTCAGAGCGGAGCTTGTTACGGTCACAACCGCCGGCCGCCGTTCTTGGGGTCGTAATAAACGGAGTCGGGACAGGTGCTCTTGGCGCCATCAGGTTCTGCGGCGACAAACTGGCCGTCTTGTAGAGAGCCCTTGATGTTGAAGTGGTACCAGACTTCATTCAAGGTCTTGCCATCGCAGCCCAGGGTCACCTCAGCGCCGTGCTGCTGGGAGAGTGCTGACTGAATGTCGTCCAGGGCATAAGATTTGGAGCCGTCAGGGGTGATGCCAGCATCAGCCAGCCACTGGTAAGTAGGCAGCGTCTTGAACAATGACACCGTCTTCGAGAAGAAATCAGCCGCCTCTTCGGTCGGTACGTAGTCGTCGTAGCAGCCAGGGTCCAGGGTCGTGATACATGTGCCATGCTTGCCCCATTCGTGCTCCCAGAAGGACTCGTCGTTGCCCTGGTAGTCTTTCCAGTAGGTTTGCATGTACTGGAGGGTGTCATCGGCACCCATGGCAGTCAGGATGTCGGTAATATTGGTGTATGCTCGGCTGGCATCGCACGTCTGGGGAAATGAACCATCGCAATTGTCCGGCCACAACCCATGAATCGTCCAGGAGTCTAGTAGCAGCGGCAAATGTTAAGCATTCATCCCCACTTGCGAGGGAATATTGAGTTGCATCGTGCGAGGCGGCGAGGACTACTTACCGGAAGGGCCAGTGGAGGGGTCGGTATCCCAGAACTGCGTCTGAAGCAGCTGACCAGACGGAATAAAGCAGCAAGTGTCTTGAACAACGGTGGTGTTGTGGCATGAGAGTGGAGTGTTGCTAGGACAAGTCTTGGACGCTGCGGCAGCAACGGAAGCCAAAGCAGCCAAGACTGAAATGGAGTTGTGAAGATGCATTGTGACGGCCCTTGGTCTGAAGCAACAGTCCTAGCCTTTGTGCCCCGTTGAGTCGTTTTCCGCCGCTTTCTCTTGCTTTCGGTTCCCTGAGCCTTCTCTGCCCTGATGAGCTATCTGGGTAGCGGACTGGTTTCGCTGTCAGCGTCAGATTACTGTTGGTGACTCCTATTTAACATCAGAGAAGACAAAGGATCGGCAAGCAACAAAGTAGGGTACCTTGATATTGAAGGAGCGCCGCTGAGGCTCTCGTTGAACGGGGGCTTGTGACGAAAGCGGTAGGTGTGATGGTTATTGCCAATCATTGGCGGGTGATCGGAAGATCTACCGGGGTAGGCGCCGATTCACATGGTAGAAACACCATGAAAAGCGCTGGCAATTGGCCATCTGTTAGCCAGAGAATGCGAGCAATTGGCGTCTTGCCGTCTCGGTGAAACCGACTCTGACTGTGACACGCTACGCATTGGCTTGGTTCATGAATCAGTGGGCATAAATCTGTCGCCTAGCGGCCCGGAAGAAGCTCCCATTTCAGAAGGTTATTGGGCAACTCTAACAAGATCTGCGGATCGACAATGCTCTCCTCGACAAAGGGTCGCTTGTTCTCCGAATAGCTACCTGGGCCTCGGCGGCTGCGGTGGTTCATTCGCTGGATGCTTCCTGGGGTTATTCATCGTGATGCGGCCAATGGCAATGCATAATAGCAGAGGCGTTTCAGCTCTCTGGCTGCTCTAGACGCGACGCATTGGCATTGGCAGATGTTGAAATTGACAATGTTTGACGGAGAATATGGTGGGTTCGAGAGCTGAGGTGCCGTCACATCGCTTCATGTGGGCAAAGTGTCCTAGAGCAAGCTATATTGTCTTGTCTGGTGGGCTGATGTTTCCTCAAAGTGCGACGGACTCCGGCAGAAAGCCACGCTTTGGGCAGATTTTGATTGAGCCATCTAGCTCTTTTGAGATGCGGAGAAGCAGGCGTCGGAGAAGAAGGGATTCGAGTAGTCAATACTGAGGCGCATCGCAGAGAAGCATTGCCTCCCGCTATGTTCTCAAAATACGTGAGGCGAGAAGATGGGACTCTGGAGGCAGAAGAGAGAATTGAAGAGGGTTTTTCTCTAGGTACGGAGCAGAGGAGGATGCCCAGTCAGCACGACAATCACGTGTTGATGTCGTTATCTGGCGGTTTCCGTTTACGAACCGCCGCATGCAAGACTTGGGCAGGAAGCATCCTCTATCACTGCCTTACTTCAGCACCAAGAATTGTATAGGAGGCAAGTACGAAGTACCTACCTCTTCGTATCGTGTCGTATCGTGTTGGAGCTTGTTGGAGCTTATTCGGCAGCGGGCATTTGACGTGTTACATAAGCCCCATGTTGGTTCACCTTATTTTCCGTCCGTCACTTCGACGGAATCTCCTCAACCGTATTCAACCTCGATGCCCTCGCCAGATGACCTCCATCAGCGCCAAAGCCGAAGACCTCGCTAGCAATTAGCGCTGGCCGCACGGAGCTTCGGCCGAAGCGGCAGAATGGCAATTGGCGGACACGAGAGCAACGGCAACAAATCAATCAAACAACGAGTGCTCTCTTTGGTGCTGGAGACCCCTCGCCAAGCTCAGGTTGGGGTTGAAGTATATTGCGTTGTGGTTGTACACCAGTGACCAGCAACCCCCGGGACCTGATTGATGCGTGCTGCAGGAATCAAGCGGCGTCACACTTACATGTCAAGTCCGGGAGAGGGCAAAAAAGGTTACAGATGACATTACCGTTGCAGCGCCAAGTACCTACCTTGGTGGAAGCCAGGCACTTGAACACATACAGCAGGTTCTGACGCATTACCTACCTAAGGAATGCATGGCGTCGAATATGCTTGAGCATGTGAGTTACAAACCCAGTAAGAGCCGGCAGAGCTTCAAATTGAGATCAAGACGAGGAGTATTATCAGCATAGGTCGACACTAACATTAGTGGCAGGCTATCCCATACCAAATCAACTAGGGTCCTGCAGAGTGATGGCCAAGCTCGAACATGAGGCCAATCCCTTCTCGCTCCATCTGAGAGGAAGGGATTTGAACACAAACAACACCAGATTGAGCCGTATTATGACCACTCCGGCAGACAAACTTGTACGAGAGTCGTATTGCCGATAGTACTACTGTACTGGGTGGTAATGAGTTGTTCAACGACAACGGCCATCAAACAGGTACTCGGCAGCTCCCCGTGGTGTAGTCCCGATCAGTTCTGTGCCCTGTTCTACGAATACCGGTGACGATGCCCGCTTCCCCATCACTGACACCGTGAAGACAGGGAGTTAAAGATTGATGGAGGGTGGGAGGCGCGCACGGAGGCCATGTCAAGGCGGACTCCCATGGTGGGCGAATGCCCGATGTGCGCATGCAGATACTCACGCGCTTGGTAGTCGATACACGGTAACACCCGGACTCGCGGTCAAACCAACACGTACCCCATACCAAGGCTATGCCGCAGGGCAAAGGTCATTCGGGGCCAGATGGGCTGGGGGGGCAGGACATCAAAGTGGTGTAGTAGTAGGTCGTCGACACGAACCCTGCTGCAAATAGCGCCGAAAGGGGATGCTGATGCCCCTGTTTTCAAGCTCGTTGGAGAGTGCGTGCTGCATGTGGCCAAACGGTACTCGGGCCGAACCCCGGAGTTTTGCAGCCAGTGACGGCGAGGGGCCGCAACCCACCGCCGATGCTAGCAAACGCACTGGGATTGCATTGATCCGCTGCCTAATGAATTGAGCCTGGAGGTGAAGCGGTTCGAGTCTATGCATCTGCTTTGACGCTCGCGGCGATTCGACGATGCGGCAATGCTAAGGATGCTGCGATGCTACGGCCGAGCAGCCTTCATACTGCCCTCTGTCGAATCGCCAGACCGTGCTGCGACCCTGTTCCGCCTCCCAGCCTTGTCCACAACCAGATCTGCCACAGCTGTCACCCCGGAGTATATCTCATCTCCAGGTTTTCCCCATTTCCCCATTTCCCCGTTTCCCCGCCAAATCCTCAAAACCCGGTTCACGTCCTGTTCAAGACCGTGACAGGCGGGCCATCGTCTGATGTTTATGGGAAATTGGAAGAAACAAAGTTTGGTGACGCGCGAATTAGAAACGCCGATGTGTGATTTTGATGGCCACGATCTGTCATGACAATTTGCCGTTCCAAGCCCAAGTGAACAAACGAACCGCTTTTTCCTTCTCCAACGCCACCGCGGGGGAGGAGCTTGGATCGACAACAGGAGTCCAGGATCCCGAGGCCGAGCTGGAGACGGACATGGGCCAATCCTCAACGATGGAATCTCAGCTCTACAGTATGCTCGCATGTCGCTCCTAAGGGGAGGAGAATCGGGTCGACGGCGGAACAACTCATTTTCTCGTCAAGCCAACTCTCCACGCATTCCGTGTTCAAGATGGTTCTAGACTCGGGCCCGGCATTGACAAAAGGTTAAAGTCAGAATCAGCCAAAAACTCCGATCACCAACCGAGGCGGCAGTTCTGGGCCTTGGCCGGCGAAAGATGGGGAGATGGATACTATTAAACTTGTTACCCCGACACTGGTAACCCCGTAGAGCTCGCGCACCTCCCACGAGAGAATCACTTTCAGAGCCGAGGATTTCTTGTTTCTACAAAGTACTTGGGAATCAGGCCATGCAATACCGTGCGTGAGCTGAGAGCTATTGGCTCAGCTGCTTAATTGCAATCAAGGGTAAGTGATGTCAAGAGGGGGAAAAGGCCTCACTTCTACCGTTGCCCCATTCCTTCCGACTGCCAATGGGCGCTGCCTCTATCTGCATGACAAGAAAAGAAAGACGAAGAAAGAAGAAGAAGAAGAAGCGGTTACACAGAAACCAGACTGTGAGGGTGCACGCTCGAGTGATGGACGGGCTAACTAATCAACGTCGTCTCTCACAGTCATCTTGGATCTCTGATCGGCGGACGGAGCGAAACCCACAAAGCGCAGCATGGACATCATTGAAGGGCACGGCAGAGGGAACGACGAAGCTGGAGCTGGAGCTGAAGCTGAAGCTAGATCCGTCCACCGTCCACTCCATCTCTTTGTCCTGCTCGTACGAAGTGCATACCGGTGCTCGTACGAGTTATAGCAGCACCAGTACGTACAGGTACTCGACGAGCACGAAGTTCGAGCACCACTTCTACTACTGGAAACTCCGGGGCATGTGGCAGGGCCACCCATTTCCCCAGCCGTTGAACAAGATTTCCGGCTGGGGGTGTGTGCCTTGATTTCCCCTGCCCATGTTCACGTCCATGTTCATGGCCCCTCTTATCGCGAGAGGAGCGTCCCACAATCTCACCAGTCGACAAGTCTAATCCGCGTCAATCTCTGCTGCAGCTCAACCCGCTGGGCCGTCTTCTCTAGCCTACGATTTGCTTCCTTTACGTCTGGCCGTGGTGGAGAAGCATCTCCCGCGCTCGCCTGGCAATGCTACTTTTACAGCAGCGCTTTGAAGTGAAATATGACACATGACATCTTGATGCTACAAGGGCATCATTTCTGGCTCCTCTAGGCACTTCCGCCCCGTCTCGCTACTCCAGTTAGTCCCCCCCGGCCCTCCTTCTGGCTCCAAGATGCACGCTAATCGCAATGGCGCTCCGCTTCTTCTCGCAAGGCATGGCGATACTAATACTAGTGGCTTTCTCTGCCTTGACGTCGGGCTTTGCTCTCTAGCTGGAGAGCTCGGCGGCTTCGGTGGCATTACAATGCTCAATCTCCTGGACCGACTGACTTTGAATGACCAGCAAAACGGCCAACAGCACTTGAGCACTGGTTGTCGGCCTCACTGAACGATTTTCGTCTTGCTGCTGCGGTATGTCATCCCTCGAGCCTCCTAATTTCAGACCCTTGACCCCAGCCAAACTTTCGCTTTCTCTGCCGCCTTTGAGGATTGTGAGATGATTCTGATGCAACTTCGTACCCAAATACGACGTACAAGCTGCCGGGGAAATTCCCAACAGCGCAACGACTACCCTCCTCCTTCTGTCCGGACGTGCCTCTCTTCACACTGAGAGGGGAAACAGAAATTAGAGTAAATGTGGCCTACTGACACCAATGCTTCCCCAGTGCCTAGCCAAAAGGGAACGAAGGAGAAGGGGAAACTCTGTCTCCTCACATCCGCACCTCCCCCCTGCTTGTTCACGTGTGCCGCTGGCTTTCGGCATGGCCCGCTCAGAAACGACTCCTCCTCTTTTCGACTAGCAGTACGACCCCAATCGAGACCCCTTTGGTCGTCTGGACCGATTACCTACAGCACGACAGAACAGAGATGAAAAATGAAGGGTTTAGAAAATGAGGGGAAGAGCAGAACGGACGGGCAGGGGAAAATACTCGGGCATTTCGAGCTCGTTTAGCAACGAAGTGCCAGGGCCAGCTTTGTCTGGTCTAGAGACAACGGCCAGCCAGTGGAGCGAGAGAGCGCATCGAGATGGATGAAGTGAGTCTTTTCCTTTCTTCTTCTTCTTCTCCTCTAATATCTATCAAGGGTGCCTATTTCTGTTCTCGGCATATAGAGCAGATCCCTTCTATGCAAGACATGGAGGAAAAAAGCTACGATGGTGGAGGTTGAAACGGTAGGTGACTGCTGTAAGGCGCACGTGTCGTACTGCGTAGATTTAGCTCTAGAAGAGGAACTGAAGTCTTCTTCCTTTGGCCCATGTTAAGCGAGCATGCAATTGACGACTCTGGCTATATTGTCTTCCTGCTCGTTTTCAACCTTGTGTGCTTTGCCGATGGACTTTATTACAAGTTCGACTGCAGTGACATACCGAGTACTTCTCACACGTCATCATCTCTTTGTTAGCGTCCAATAGACGTAGGTAGAAGGGGGGTCGCATTGATGTCTTAGATTCCAGGTCCCATCGGTCCCTAAGGTATGGCAACTTTTGCAGTTAGAACTCTCCCATTGCGGCGAATTGACCGCCTTTCATAGCTATGCGGACCTTTTACACTTGTGTGATGCTTTTGGTCTTGGGTAACACGTTCCATGGACACAAATTAGACCGGGCTGACAATGAGGATCATGATCCAAGTATGGTCACTTGATGATTCTCCCTTGGAAACATGGGACTTGTGTAGGGTATTTCTCAATGGGAACCTGGAGTAATATGGCGTGGTTATTGGTGGGGGTTTGTCCATGACTCTATACAGGTTCAAGCCAACACAGACACCACGACGAAGCGAAAAGGCATACTCCGTATATGTATGTGATATGATTTGTTGACCCTTTCCACCATCAAAATACCCATTATCAAATATCCAACAAGGCCCATGTCATCCATATTCAACCACCAGAATACAAGGTAGATCCAGATCCAACCACCACCATACGAGGGATGCAAATATATACACAACACTATTAGTAGCAACAAAGTGCAGCAACCCCCCGCGTCCCTTCTTACTCCAAGCCAGCAGGCAACCACGCATTCAGCGCCGTCAAAGACTCCGTAAGCGAATCAAACGAGCTCAAATCAGCATTCGTCTCACCACCCCCGTCTCCTCCCCTAGGAGCACCAAACATGAAGATCGGATTCGCCCCAGGGCCGCCCTGCTGCTGCTGCTGTTGGCGAATGTCCCAGCTGCCAAAGCTCTGGTGCAGCCGCGCCGAGTCGCTGAGCAGCCATTCGCGGCCGTCCATGCCCATGCTGCCCATGTTCTGGATCTGGCTCTGAGGGTTCTGGTTCTGATTGGGATGTTGTTGTTGTTGTTGTTGTTGTTGTTGTTGTTGTTGGCGGAGGCCCATATCTGATGAGATGTGGCTTTGGGTTCCCGAAGATAGACCAGACGGAGGGGAGCTGATGGGCATGCTCAGTTGCTGTGGCCATGCGCCGAGGATGGTCTGATAGTCCATCTGCGTAGGGTCCATGCCCATGCCTTGCTGGTCCGCATGAGGAATGCCGTTGCCAATGGACATGGGCGAGTCCATGGACAGGCGCTCCTCTATCGACGTCTGCATCGTCGGTTGAGCCAAGGGCTCTGAAGTCGGATGATGCCTCGCAAGGCCATAGTCGTGCCTTGCAGCTTGCGCCGCCCCTTCCTCCGAGGTGACGGGTGAGATGGGGGCTATGTTGCTCGATCCGGGAGAGGGCACTTCCGACGTGCTGTAGTACTCGAACCTCTCGTCGGTTCGTTTGAGGATAATGTCGGCCTCTTCCGGAATTTCGCATTTCCACTTTCGAGCCAAAACACTAAGAATGCTCAGCGTCCGCCTAGCACAGAGCCAGTCTTCTGCAATCTCTTCCAGATGCCGCAGTCCATGGGTCAGGTCTCGTTTTGCCGTCTTTTCCGGCAAATTGAGCAGGTGGATGGTGCACGCGCTGTGAATCATGTAGACTGCAATGTTGCAGATCTGTCGGAGATTCCAGGACTTCTTGTACAGCCTCATCAGTTTTGATATGGCACCAGCGTTTGCGGTGCATATCCGCCTTGGAGATATGTGCGGAGGCAGTGGAGATGCGGTTGGGGAGTATTTCAGGAAAGGCCTAAAGAGGTGAATGTATTGGAGGTGGTAGAATGTGCTACAGAAGAAAAGGAGTCAGTATGACATCTCAACGCCTTGCACGGTGCAGGCAAGACTTACAACATCAGGATCACGTTTGGCAGCAAGCCTTCCTTTGGATCAAACTCCTTGGGCACGGCCCTGCGCCATTCCTCCAGCCGCTGGTGCAGCTCGCCGAGTCTCTTGAGCTCGAGAGATTTGCTGCTGGCCCGCTTTATGTGGCTGGGGTGGTAGAAGAAGACGAGGATGTCGCTGCTGATTTCGCACAGCTTGGACAGCAGGAGAGCAACCGCCCGCGTCCTCGACGGCTGCGCAAGTGACTCATCGAAGCCCTTGTCGGTGAAGGGCGACCACAGCGCTGCGTCTTCGTCCGGGAACACTTCGACTTTGGAGACAGTGAAGGAGTTTCTCGGGAGCTGTGGCAGGCGGCCCAGGTAGTTGGACCAGGTCTTGTCGAACAAGAAGCAGCCCCAGAAAGTGATGCGCCGGGCGTCAATTTCCTCTTCCGTCATGTGCTCCTTGTCCAAGCCCTCGATCTCGAGGTTGAGGCCGATGTCGAGAGCCATGCGGAAGCTCATGCCGCTGTAGACCCAGCCCTTGGCCTCTCTTGCGCAACCGGCCTCTCTGACAGACATGAGTGCCAGGGCTTGCACGGTCACGAGCCGGGGCTTCTCATACTCGTCATTCTCGACAATGAGCCGCTTGGCCTCGGCAAAGAAGTGATCCCCCTTTGTTCTGCTGTCGCCGGGGATGCCAAACGCCCCAGGGATGTCTGTGAAGTGGCAGCCAAGCGCCAACATTGCGTTGACCAGCAGCGATGAGCAGTACGTCGTGCCCGGCTGCAATCTGGACTTGCCCCTCATGAAGTCTCGCCAAAACAGCTTGCGCGAGAGGGTAGTGAAGTATGGGTAGTGGTAGTTGAAGTACATGTTCATGAGGTGCATGATGAGACGTGGATCAGTGGTCACGCGAGTCCAGGACGTGACGGGATTCTCACATACGCCTGGCTCAGAAGGCGAATCGTACTCGGTGCCGTCGTGGTGAGGGTCTCCTAGGTAGATGAGGTGAGAGGTGCCGCCAATGAAGCGCACCGAGCCGTTCTCGAGCCGCAGCTCTCCCATCTTGCCCGCGAGCTCTCGTTCTCCTTGCACGGGCAGAAAAGACATGGGTTCCTCCTCCGGGGTTCCCTCCTCCTCGTCTTGCTTGGCTTCCGAGCCCATCTTCAAGAGCTCCTGCGCAACTGTGTCGAGGTTGTCGCATGTCCGGATCTTGTTGACGACGTCGGGCACTTCTTCCTCAGAGGCATTCAGGATGGCCTCGACGATGACCTGCAGCGTCGAGCTCTGGGCCTTCATGCTGTCGACCTTCTCCCGGTAGACGCCCTTGCGGCGGTGGTCCGAGTTGGGGTTGTAGATGCACTCAGTGCCGTAGACGCTGGCGCAGGCGGCGCAGCTTGGCAGGGCGCCATCGCACTTGGACTTTCGCCGGCGGCAGGCGACGCAGGCCGTGCTGATGCATCTCCGTTTCTGGGTGGCCGGGTCGGTGGCTCGCCGAGACTTTTTCTTGGGCTGGGTGGCGGGCGTCGAGGCGTTGGACGACGAGGCGGCAGTCAGATCGATGCCGTCCATGGCGTGAAGGAGGTGGCGAATGGTGCAGAGGCCGGAGATGCGCTGCGCGGCGAGAAACAACGGGCGAAGCTGGAGCTGAGGCTGTGAACTAGGAGTTCGAGATGTGGACGTTGGTGGGCAGGAGAGCAGTCCCCAGACGGAGCGCTAGCATCGAAATGTGCCGGCACGCGGTGTCACCATCGAACTCTGGGTCTGGGGTTGTGTCAGGCTGCAGGGATGAGAGATGAGAGAGATGGCGAGGCGCGAGACAGGGCGGGAATGAATGTCTTGGAATAGACGCCCTCCCTCCCTTGGGCTGCACTCTGGTCCTGGGTCCTGACCTGTGGCGGACGATGTCGTGATGGCGAGCCTCTCGGCGACGGCGCTGCGGTCGACGGGCCGTCTAGGGATTTGTCATGCAACGCCCTGCAGCTGCAATGGATGAATCAATCCAGGGATCGGTTGTTGGCTGCGGCGGTCTCGGAGATCGGAGTGTTGCTTTGGTGTATATGTGCGTATGTATGTGGTGGTTGAATAAGACTTGATGCGGGGGGCGTGTAAAGCTTTTGCGCAGGTGGAGGGAAGCTGCAAGGTCTTGCGCTGCATGTACAGTGATGAGCGCTTCCACGGCAGATGTCGCAATCAGGCTGATGTTGAGTACCTTAAGGTAGGTAGCAGTTAAAGCGAGAGAGGCGAGGGTTTGGTGGTGAGAGGGAAGAAGGAGAGGGTAACACACAAGCTGTCGAGCAGAGGCGAGATGGGAAAATACTATAGTATGGGCAAGATAGTACCGGAGCTGACCCGACTGACGACATGCGCCTCCCAGCTCAGCAGCAGCACAAGATCAATCCAATGCAATCCCCAGCCGTCAACCTGACAAGTCAACCCGGGTGTCGGTGGCCCAAAAATGCCCTGAAGCTTCCCAGCCATTGAAGCCTTACGCCTTGTTGCCCGCCAACCCTTCAGCTCCTCGAGGGCAAATCCGGCGCCTGCGATTGGTCTGCTGCCCTGGGCCGGTCCATCTGATGCCCGTTACCAGGGCCTCGAGTAAATGGATTGAGGCTCGCCGAACCGGTCGCCTTTGAAGTTAGTCGTGGCGAGTGCCGCTAAGCCGGAATCGCGGGAAGCTGGCAGTTCAATTCCGCACTTTGATGAGATCGGCGGGACTGTGCATTTCGAGGGGGGGACAGACGCTGTGTCTTGCTTGATTCAGACGAGTCTCTGTTGCTTTTGTTGGCACCACGTAGTTCTACTGAGACTCTGTTTTACATCTTCACTATCCAACACATGGAGGAGTACTATCTGCATAATAATTGGCAGGTTATGAAAGTCACCAAAAGAGTCAAACCACGAGCGGTTGTCGGAGTGCTCAAGCCCATCAGCAGATCCCCCAATTCCTGATTTCTTCTCCCGTAACAACATCCACACCGTCCAAAAAAGTGGGCAAAGAATCACCGAAACTCGGGATTCGCCAGGAACGCTCGGGAGAAGGATTCACAGGGCACGAGGACGAGGCATTATTATAGTAGTAGTAGTACATACTGTAAAGGCGTTCGCTCCGTTTCCCCGTGTTTGGGGATGCGGAGAATTTGTCTCTCAAGGCATGTCATACTCCGTACTACATACTACTACATACTAGCAAGGTGAGATGGATGCCATTGTCCGTTCCGGTCCGTTGCGAGACACGAGACAAGTGTAACCGATGCCATGCGCTGCAAGGCGGGTGCGGGAAGCGGAATTGTATCACGTTGGATGCTATACATACGTGTATAATTATACTTTTGTACTCGAGGTTTCCCTTGCAGAGCTCAGGTAGATGCATTAATCACTCATTGCCTTGCTCAGGGCTAGTCGGAGGCTTGTGGTCACTTGAACGATTGCTCGAGTCAATGCAGAGACAGAAAATGGCTATCCGTTGACCAACTTCCGCGAAACGGCGCCCCCGAAATGCTACCGCAGAAATACGACCACGGAACAAACAACCGAATTCAGTTGTCGAGCAAATCACACATTATCCCAATTGAAACGACGGGTATGCAAAAAAGAACCATGTTAACAGGATCTGTGAATTTGCCAGGAAAAGACGCCGTGTGGAATATGTATTGTGCAAGTTGGCCTTGACACTCCGTACACTCCGCATTCCACGCCGGTAGTCGAGAAGTCAGCAGCTCTGCTGCAATTGCGAGACATGGCTGACTCTAAAGAGTGCAGTTGCAAGACATGGCCCTACCCGGAGCATGGATTTGACTTGGAATCGTACGATTGCCACGGAGGATAGTCTCCTAAAAAGCTCCGCGTTGTCTCTGCCATGTTGTCTCATGTAGCGCTGTCCGGAGTAGTAGTAGTTGGTAGGCAGGTAAACCGTTCACTGCCTCGAGAACTGGCTATGAGGGCCTAGATCATAGAATACACTGCCTGAACCTTCGTTGGCTATTGACTACACCACAAAGACATCGTCGTCGGGTTACGTGCAATATCATAGATTCTTTGTATATACTATTACATAGCCGAAGCATGAGAGGACATCCAGTCCTGCCTCGACCTTTTATCATCATACATGGTCCAGTAACCTGTCCTCTTTACCTCCTTGGACATCCCTCTTGCGTAGAATTGTCCATCATGATCTACACCAACTCTCCCCATGCCTGCCCACGCCCTTAACCTCGCTCAAGATACCAGTTGTGCGTAAGTTGACTCGTCAAGTAGCTAAACGGCGTCGGTACCTCCGCCATGCCCTTTCGCGCAACCGGGTGCCGCAAGTAGACGGCGGCGCAAATGTTGGGGTTGACCTCGAGATACCGGGGGATAAAGGCAAACGCCGACATGTACGGCCGGGGCCTCCACGGGGTAGCGTACGGCTTCGAGTCGTCAATGGGGTTCTCCTCGTCGTAGCGGAGCATCTGCGCCAGCTTCCGCATCTCCTCCCTGGACAGCGAGGCGTCGCCCATGATCCGCTTGGCCTTTGTCTTTTGCTCCTCTGACAGGCCCTCGAGGCCCTTTTCGATCTGTCGCTCTCTGTTGACTTCAGGCTGCGCCTCCTCCTCGCTCTCCTTTGCGGCGGCTTGCGTACCCTCAGCCTCAGCCTCGGCTGCGGCCGCGGCCTGGTCTTGCTCCTGACTGTCCTTCAGGTCGAGCTTCTCAAAGCTCTCTCGCAGCAGTTCGTGGCTCTTCATCTGCAGCTGCAGCTCGTCAATCAGCTCCGCGGGGTCTGCCTCGCTCTTCTCGGGATGCGAGAGGAAGCGCTTGGCATCTGCTCGGAACAGGCGGAGCTGCTTCTTCTCCTTGGCAGTGAGGTCCTTGGGGTTGTTCTTCAGGAGCTTCTTGACGTCCTTCAGCAGGGCCTTTAGAGCCTTGTTCTTCAGCTGCCACTGAGCCTCGGGAGTCAATGATCCGGCGTCTTCGCCCGCAGCGGCCTCGCCCTCGGCAGCCTCAGCATCAGCTTCGGGCTTCTCTCCCTCAGCAGCGCTCTCAGCGCTTTGCTCGGCGCTGCCGGCTGCCTTCTTGAGTGCGTTTTGGTATGCTTGCTCGGCCTTCTTTTGCCTGGCCTCGAGGTTCTCACGGAGTCGCTGGTGGGCCTGTGCCGGTTTCTGCACTCCCGTGCCGTACATGACCTTTTCAACGTCCACCTGGAACATGTCGCCGGGGTTCAATTGGTAAGAAGGGTGAACCATCTGCGTAAACATGTTAGTTCAAGCACAGATAAGAAGTTGAATATGAATGTTGTATAGTCTTTGACGCACCTTCTTTCCATTGACCGTGACGGCGCCGTGGATAACGAATTGACGTGCTTGCCGGACGCTGCTGGCAAACAGAGCCCGGAACACGGCGGTATCCAGCCTCCTCTCCAGCGGCGCAAACGTCATCTGCATATAAGGCGTCATGTTGTTGAACTGATCCGACAGCAGCTTGTTCACGTCGCCAAAGACGGGCGTCCTCCTCCTTGAGCGCTCCTGGGTGCTGAGTCGGGGGACTTTGGAAAAGGTCTCGGCCGTGACCGTCGACGTCGTCAGGCCCGAACCGCGGCCGGCGGCCTGCTCGGAGCCGTCGTGCGCGGCCAGGTACTCGGGCGGCATGTCGACGGCGGACAGCAGCCGGCGGGAGAAGAGGCGCACCCATTTCTTCTCGGGGATGTGCTCGCCGTGGTACGACCGCGTCTTGGCCTTGGCGGCCCATTTCTGCTGGAAGAAGGTGGGCGTGCCTCGGATCTGGGGCTCGCGGCCGGTCTGGCGGTACAGGTTATACAGGTTGTACTTGTTCCATGACTGTCGCAGTTTCTGTAAAGGGTTTCGATGTCAGTAAGGTGGGATCCCTCCCCCCCGCCATCACACGAGCTCAGTTCCAGCGGTGCGCGGATGACATCGGCAGCAGACAATGCCAAGATGACAATGGACTTACAGGACGACTTAAACTGTAGAAACGGTACGGCTTTCTCATCTTGGCGAGCCGACCGGCGACAATTGCAGCTTGACGGGATCACACTGAAGCCGTTTGTTAGAGCTCACCATGTGGGTGACATTTTTTCTTGGTGGTGCCACGCAGCCGGGGTTCTGCCGGTCGGTGTGACGGCTCGCCGTACGGATTCACCGACCTCACCGAAGGGTGGGGCCACTCAACGCGTCTCAATTGTGACAAAGTGGGCTGAGACGCGTCGAGAGATTTCCACTGGTAGTGACTTGTTTTGTGAGCCGAATTGTCGATACAGGTTTTGTACATCAACGTTGGTCTTTTGCTTCTTTTTGTACGTTCCTGAGCGTTTCTCTCTCTTTATATATTGTCTACACCAAGTCAGCACCAAAATGCTGTCTGCATCCTCGCCAATTGCCTACCCAAGCGACCCTCCCTCTCCTCCGCCAAAGCGCGCCAAACCGCACGATGTCCAATATCCCACGCAGAAGCCACGCAACCGCGGGCCGTTTGTGGACTCGGATTCTGAATCAGACGTCGAAAACTATCCAAGAGCAAGGTCAACGTCTCCCTCTAAAAGGCGCAAAATAGACGACCGGCCCGCACTGGCTGTTCGAGATGCGAATCAAGACGACAATGACGGCATTCTTCCCCGCGACAAGAGCGCAGTCATCGATCTCGACGCACCTCAGCCATCACTCTACGAGGCCACTCAGAATACTGCACCAACAGCTCCCCATTGGGGCAGACTCAACTCATTACTCACCACGCCCATCTTTGGAAGCCGCTCAAGGACCACTTACAAGCTCAAGACATGCGGGGGCAAGGAAATCACCATCAAGCAGCGTCAGGAGGCAGTTGCTCAGTCCTACGAGTCCATGGTGGCAGCGAGGTCCAAGACCAAGGAAGGGCGGGCGAAGCGAGACTACTATGGCGTCGACATTCACAACCTCATCAACGCAGCGACAAGCGAAATGGCTGAGAAACGGCAAACCCCATCATCTCCAGACACCAATCAAGCCGTTCGCTCCATGGAGGCCACATCGATATCCGACAAGAAACCCAAGAAGACGATGCTATGGACCGAGAAATACCGCGCAAGGAACTTTATGGACTTGTGCGGCGATGACGGCACAAACAGACTTGTCCTCCGCTGGCTGAAGAAGTGGGATCCGCTGGTGTTCCCAGGAACAGCCAAGGCAAAGCCCAAAGCGGCGAGACGCAACGGCCCCCATCCCCCGCCCGAAGAGGAGAAGCCTCACCGGAAGATCCTGATGCTGACAGGCCCCCCCGGACTGGGCAAGACGACACTGGCTCACGTCTGTGCCAAGCAGGCCGGCTACGAAGTAATTGAAGTCAACGCCAGCGACGACCGCAGCCGCGACGTTGTCAAGAACCGGATCCGCACCAGTCTTGGGACGGAGAGCGTCAAGAACGTGAGCAATCTGAAGGCGCCGAACGGGCCGCAAAAGGTCGCCAAGCCTGTTTGCGTGGTCGTGGACGAGGTCGACGGCGTGGTGACGGGATCGGGAGCTTCAGGGGAGGGCGGCTTCATCAGGGCCCTGATTGACTTGGTGCTCATCGACCAGAAGAACTCATCAGTGGTGGAGAAGACTTACGATGGCAAGAAGAAGAAGGGGGACGACTTTCGGCTGATGCGGCCGTTGATCCTGATATGCAATGATGTGTACCATCCTTCGCTGAGGCCACTGAGGCAGTCGAATCTGGCCGAGATCATCCACGTCGGTCGACCGACTCTGGACACGGTAGTTGGGCGATTGAAGGAGGTCTTTGAAAAGGAAGGCATCCCTTGCGACAAGGACGCAGCACGCAAGCTATGTGAAACGGCCTGGGGCATGGCCAGCGGCATCGATGCCAGACGGGGCCAAGAAAGCACCGTGCAGGGCGATCTCCGAGGCGTCATGGTGGTGGGCGAATGGGTGGCCTCCCGGTTCAGGGCTTCGGCTCTGAGCGACACGCAGCGTCTCACCAGGGATTGGATCGAGAAGAACATCCTGCAGGAGCTTGCCAGCGGCGCGGCGGGAGCTCGAGGCCTCGGGCGAGGCAGCGTCAAGGATATCATCTCGCGACTCTTCCAAGAGGGAGGCGGCTTCCCCAAGCAAGCGCTGAGCCTATCGAGGTCCAAGACGCATCATGAGCAGCCAAAGACGGAGCTGGGCTTTGGCGAGCACCAGAAGAAGTACGCCATGGAGTGCCTCCGGCAGATGGTGGACGCCAGCGGCGAGATCAGCCACATTGTGACGGAGATATTCGCAGAGTACCCGAACCGCGAGTTCAACGACGACTCGTACCTGTCGAAGCCGAACCAGGCCTACGACTGGCTGTACTTCCACGACGCCTGCCAGTCGAGGCTGTACGCGAGCCAGGAATGGGAGCTTGCGCCGTACCTCTCGCAGCCCGTGCTGGCCTGCCACCACCTGTTTGCATCGCCCATCAGGCACTTTGCCGGCGGCATGTCGTCGACCAACAACCAGCGGACTGGCGGGGAAGAAGATGCCGGTCCTACGATTCCCTTTTCCGGCCCGCGCGCGGACTTCCAGGCCTACGAGGCCGAGAAGCAGACCCGCGCGCAGCTGCAGACGCTGCAGGGCCAGCTCAGCCCGACCATGATGCGGCTGTTCCGCAGCGCAGAGGACGTTTCCACAGAGTTCCTGCCGTACCTCGCGCGCATGCTGTCGCCGGACGTGAAGCCCGTTGTCGTGGGCGGGAGCCAGGGGACGACGGCGAGCGTGCGCAAGGAGAGCGAGCGGCGAATGGTGAAGAGGGCGTCGGAAGTGCTCGCCGAAGTGGGCATTACGCTGCAAAAGGGCAAGATTGAGAGCGATGTGCTGTCCAGTCGCGGGCCGCAGTTTGTCTACCGCATGGAGCCGTGAGTGAACCCCCCTTATCTTATGCTGTATGAATTGAGGAAGGCTAAATCGTGATGTGCAGAGACATTGATTCCCTGTCTACCTATGAAACAGCCTCTTCCCTCATAACATCCCAACCACCAGCTCGCTACGCAATCCGCCAGGTCCTCGACCAGGAACTCCGTCGCACGCTCGCCCTCCGCGAGACAAGCGCCCGCCAAGCGCGCTTCCAGGCCGGCCGCTCCCTAGGCGAAGGCGACGATCAAGCGACGCAACAGCCCCTGGCATCTTTGCTGAGCCAGAAGAAGGACGACAACATGGCCGTCGTGGAGGATGGACTGGTGGTGAAGAAGGACTTTTTTGGGAGAATCATCCAGGCGCAGGCGCTGGCGGATGTTGTCAGGGGCGGGTTGATGGACAAGAAGGCGACGGCTGGGCAGGACAAGGTCTGGGTTACGTTTCATGAGGGGCTGAATAACGCTGTGAGGAAGCCGATGACGCTGCGGGAGTTTTTGAGTGGGCTTTGATGAGGCTGCTGTTTTCGAGTCTTGTCGAAAGATGTATATGACTGGAGTTTGGATGAACAATGGGATAAGAGCTTTCTGTTTATGCAATATATTGCTCGTTTATAATCCTACAACGCCCGTCATCTTCCCTCCTCCGCGACTTCTCGAGTATCCAAGAAATGCCAATCCAACTACTACAGCTTCGCCTTGATCCTCTGCGCCGGAACGACCAACGGATCATACGTGACATTCGACAGCGAATCCACGGGCGTCGCATTGCTATGCACAAACAGCCCCCTCGTATCCAACAGTCCCGGATGCAGGTCCGCAATCTTGGTCACCCCAATCAGCCGCATGTCCATCTCCATCTCGTCCTTGAGCAGCTGCATCGCCCGCTCCACGCCGGCCTGCCCATAGGTGCTCATGGCATACAGGAACGGCCTCCCGATGCCCACGCCCTTTGCGCCCAGGCACAGCGCCTTGAGGATGTCGGTGCCGCGCCGCACGCCGCCGTCGACGAAGACGTCAATCTTGGAGTCCAGCCCCTGGTCGCGCAGGACGGGCATCGTCTCGGCGAGGACCTCGATGCCGGAGCGCGAGAAGTCGAGCTGGCGCCCGCCGTGGTTGGACAGCACGACGCCCTGGACGCCGGCGCCGACGGCGCGCAGCACGTCCTCGACGCGCTGCACGCCCTTGAGGATGATGGGCATCTTGGTGATGCTCTGGAACCAGGGGATGTCGGCCCAGCTGAGGCTCGGGTCGATGAAGCTCGAGATGGCGCGGGCGGCGCCCTGGCTCGTGTCCGTCTTGGTGCCCTTCTGCACGCTGCTGCCCGTGTCGACGAACTTGAGCCGCATGTCCTTTTCGCGGCGGCCCAGCTGCGGCGCGTCGACGGTGATGAAGAGCCCCTTGCAGCCGCGCCGCTCGGCGTTCTGCACGATGCGCTTGGTGATGGCGCGGTCGCGGTTGACGTAGAGCTGCAGCCACTGGACCTGGTCGCCCTGGCGGGCGTCGACGAGCTCGTCGAAGGAGCACGACGCCAGCGTGGGGATCATCTGGATGACGTTGTGGGCGTGCGCGGCGCGCGTCAGGATCACCTCGCCCTCGGGGTGGCCCAGCTTGCCCAGGGCCGTGGCCGTGACGTAGAAGGGCGCCGAGACCTTGGTGCCCAGCATCGTGGTGGACAGGTCGATGCTGTGGACGTCGACGAGGATCTGGGGGCGGAACCAAATTCTGTGGTAGGCGCTGTGGTTCTCACGCATGGTCTTGGAAGCAGCAGCATCAGTACATATCAAGGCCAGTCGTCAAAAGGGGAGGACAAAACGCACAATCTCATCATCAGCCGCGCTGGAATAGTACCCCCACGCAGTCTTCTTCATGGTCCGCCGCGCGACGGCCTCAAAGTCGTGCAGGTTGAAGCACTCGGACAGCGTCGGCATCTCGCGTATCCTCCGCTGCCGCTCCGCCTCCTCCGGGTCGTCCTCCTTCTTGGCCTCCACGGCGACGGTGGCCATGTCCACGGGGCCCAGGTGCAGCGACTTGTCGAGGTACTTGTCGAGCGTGTCCCGGGGGTGAATCGGGTCAAACTCTTCCGTCGCGTCTTTGCCCTGTGCCATTGGAAAACGTGATTAGTGAGGGAGTTCAACGATGATGGGGCAGTCGGAGGTCCCCGCGATGATGATGATGGGAATGAGGGGGTGTGTTGGGCGTACGGCATATTTGAGAATGATTTCTTCGCCGCCGGGATGTTCTGTGAATGTTGAAGAGTGCTCATGTTAGTTGTTCGTTCTCTGAGGAAGCGACTGCTAACTTTGAATAAGAGGGGAAAATCATCGTGAACATACCAGGCAGAAACTCTGTCACATCGTATGCTTTGCCCTGGATGAGAGGAAGAACAGTTCAAGCGTCAGCAATCAAGTTCCACCAATCCACGATTTCCTCTCTCCCAGCTTTCATTCATTCAGTCCCCCCAATTCCAGTTCCCTCATTTGAGCATTGAATGAAAAACGCACATGAATAATCACCCAGCATGACTTTTCGCTGTTATGCTTGGCCACTTCATCGCCCGTGAGCACCATCTTGCCTGTCCCTTTTTCTGTGTTTCGTCTTTTGCAATCCGTCTTTCTCGTGGTGAGCGGTGATGGAGATGACGTCTCACGATGGCCGGCCCCAAATCCGTACGCCCGAGACTTTTCAGTCCAAGCTAGTCAATCGTATGCCCAACGTCTCTCTCTTTCTCTTCTGTCTCAGTTTTCAGTGAAGCAGATATCAATTGCTGGTCCAAAAAAGAGAAAGATGATTAGATTGAAGAGGTTTGAAAAAGAACAGAAGAGAAACGCGATTTGTCTATCAACGTTCGCGCGTCGGTTCTTCGGCTCGTCGTCGTCGTTCTCGCCATGGGCCACGATTTAAAAGGGCGACGAAGATCCAAAAAGGGAGACATAATTGGCCGCCTCTCATTGGCCGTCGGCTAATATTATAGCCAGTTGCTGGGGGCACATGGAATCTCCCCCGCCATCGAGACGAGTACCTATCAAAACCCTCCCCTTTCCGACGGATATTTTTGCCTTTGAACAACTCGATTGATCAGTCAAACTCAGTATCTGAAATACCAGACTATTTCCCTCCATTTCATACCCAATCCAATCTTCCAGTACTGCAGGAGTTCCCTTCGACATTCAACCACGCAGCACAGCTTCATCCCCCAAACAAGAGCGGAGGGCAAACCCCGTCTCCGTAGTTTTAACGCTACAGTCTTCCCCCCCATTCTAACCCGTCGAACTAGAGCCTCCCCCAACGGCTTTTGATATTCCGGGGACCGAGATTCTGCGGGGAGCCAAGCAATAGCTACTATAGTACTAAGCTAAACCGCTCCTCTCACCTTCGACTGAAACTCCACAAACCAACAAGTCCCGAGTCATGGAAAGCTAATCTTGTTCATCGGGGCTCATAGGGGGAAACCTTGTCCGCAATATACTCACATATCTAAACATCACTGTCATTGTACTCCTGTCAAATATGTGACAAGTCACTCAAGGCAATGCCGGGATGGCGCCCAATTCGTGTGCTCGTGCAAAGACCAGGTAGACGCCACTCGGGATATCCATCCGATATTCATTCATCAAGACCATCACCGCCTTCTGTACACATACTCCTATCACCGCGTCCGTCTCTTTCGCATCTCGTCTCCAAATCAGCTCCCACCTCGCAATTACCTGCCGTTGCGGCTCGCTAAAGAGGCCCTGCTCTCCCCAGCATGCCAACTGCATCCCTCTTCGTTCCCTCCCTCCCCCCTTTTCTGTATCTCAGGTCGGGTATTCATGCCATCATCCAAACCATCTCACTGCCTAATCAATCAACAAAAGCGCTTTCTTCTCTTCATTTCCACGCATTGAGCCCGGCCCACGGGTCGTGCGTCTGCTGTGTTTGGGCCGACCGAGGCTGCGCGCTTGATGGGTGGCCAACCGCAGGATCAAAATCCTGCTGTCCAAAGTGAATAGTCTGCTGAGGGCCCAGCGGAGGAGGGCCCGGAGGAGGCGGTGGAGGGACGAAGCCGGGTGGCACATATCCTCCAGGAGCGTGCTGCTGCTGTGTCTGCTGCTGCTGCTGCTGCTGCTGTTGGGGTAACGCCCCATACATGGTGTAGGGCTGGTGTTGTCCGAACGATGTCTGTGTGGGTGGCGGCGATTGGGGCCCTCTCATGACATTCATGCCAAAGGACGTCTGGTTCGGAGGCGGCGATGTCGGCCCGGGGTTTCTGCCGTACGTGCTCGGGTTGTATACGGGTTGTGAAAAGGTGCTCTGCGGAGGAGGGCTGGCGTATCCGGCAAAGCTCTGCTGGTTCGGCGGTGGCGACGTAGGCATCTGGAACTGCCCTTGATAGCCGTTGCTGCTGCTGCTGCCGCCGCCCTGGCCGTAACGAGACGTCTGGCTCTGCTGCTGCATCAGGGGCGCCGGTGTTGGTCTTCCCGACGGTGGTCTGGCGGGCGCCGCCGGCTGTGCCGGCTCCATGGACATGCGCTCCATGAGGCCTCTCAGCCGCTCCCTTTCCAGCTCTGCCTGCTGGCTCTTGTTGTTTGCTCGCTCCTGTTCGATTTGGTTGAGCAGCTGTGCGCCCTCTGACCTCCGGTTGTTTACAAAAGTCTCCACGTTCTTCTCGAGGCTCTCCACCGTCTCCCTCATCTCCGAGTACCAGTTCTTGGCGCTCTGCAAGCCCGCCTCCAGATCCAAGAACTCCTGGTACGCGCGCTTGTACTTGCCAATGGCCGATAGCCTCTGGCGCTGTATGGATTCGTACTTGCTCTGCTCCGCGCGCACGCGCTTGTCCTGCAGGAGAGTGTTGAACGTCGCCGTCAGCTCCTTCATCAAGGCCGATTGCTTGTGGTTTGCCTGCAGCAAGCGATTCTGATGAGGCCGAAACTTTTCCAATTCCTGCTTGAAAAGTTGCTGCTCATAGTTTGCTATCGTCTTTTTGTTGAGGATGAGGACTTGAGAGATGTCGTCGTTGTGCACCTAGATCCCCCTTTGTTAATGTCGCTCTCTTTGATCCTCTCGCAAGACCCACAACTCTTACCTTCTCCTTGAGGTCCTTGAGGACCTGATTTCTCTCTCTCTTGATGAGGTTGAGCTTCTTGAGAATCTCTTCGACTCTCGCAATCTGCTCCACCACCGTGGGCCCGGATTCATCAAAGTCTGCATCGAGCAGATTCGGCTCGTTTCCAGCCGGGCTCACGGCATTGCTACTCCGCCCCTTGGCCTGGGAAACCGCCCTGGAGAAGAGCTGGTCAACCTGGCCATTTGCGACGGCGTTCCGCATCTCGTCGAACCACGTCTCGTTCTGGCGCAGTTTCGCCGCCAGCTGGCCGTCGCTCCTGCTGGCCTCCTCCAGAGCTTCCCGGTAGTTGCGGATGTCTCCCCGCAAGGTCGTCGTGAGGCGTGCGCTGGGCTGCTGGCTCCACTCGTTTTCGTACTTGGATCGCATCTTTTCGCACACGCTCTCCTCCATATCCAGCTGCTTGGACGCCTTGTCCAGAGTCGACACTATCGACTCCTTCTCGCTCCGCAAAAAGTCAAAGATGTCCACGGGATTCTCGTGGTTGGCCACGTCTTCACACCATTGCCGGAAATCCTCGTCGGGAAGAATGTCCTGGTCGAATCCGCCCTTGAGCACCTGCAATGCCCCTGGGAGTCGTAAATAGTCCAGGCTGGCTGCCATCTCGCCGTTTGCCGTATCCACCTTTTCCGTCTCGGCTCTGACAAGCTTGGCCTTCTCCTCGTCGTATAAGCTGGCGGATTCGGTGACGGCCATGGGCACAATCTTGGAAAACAAGTCGGGGCCGGTGATGCGCTGGATGTCTTGACCGGCGTAGAGCTCGGATACGGGGATCGGCTTTGCGGCCGGGAGCTTGGCGATCTGGGGTAGGGTCGCCTCCGCGGGGACGGTCTGGTGGTAGATGTAGTCGTTGTCCTTGATGGCTTCTCGCAGCCGTTCCTGCACCGTCGAGCACTGCCGCTTCGTAATCTCCTGCAGATGCGTGCTGCAGTCGGCACCGAGGTTGGCGTTGGACGGCACGGTGCTGGGGAAGCTCTTTGCTAATCGGTCGGCGTCCTTGGCGAGGGTGTCGGCCACCTGGAGCCGTGACAGGGCCACACCATGCTGGCCCGCTTCGTCGTCTGCCATTGCCTGATAATACTGCGCCATGGAGTTGAGAAGACTGGCTTTGATCTGGGGTTTGCACCAGTTCCAATTAGCAATTTCGCTGCTGCAGAATCCGAAGATGGTGAGCATCTCCCTCCCAGACACTGAAGCTTACCTGGACCATTGTCAGCCAGACCTTCTCAAAGATGGCCTTTGTGACATTCTCCTGCACGCCCTCCACAGCCTGTCCATACAGGTACCCAGACTGCGACGCCAGCTTGGCCAGCAATCCGGCTTTTTTCTGGTCCTTGACCTGCTTCTCCAGAAAGATCTCCTGCGCCTGGGCGAGCATGATGTGTATCAGCGTCTTGACAGTCTCTCGGCTGAGGTCGAACGAAGGAGCGTGCAAGAAGTTCTCGTTGATGTACGTAAACATGCCGGCCGAGGCCTGAAACGAGTGGTAGGCGACTTTGAGTGCGGAATCGTCCTCTCGGTTCTGGATAGCAGCATGGCCGGAAAGGACGGCGGAGATGTTGAAGATGACGGAGGCCTTTTCGAACGCCAGCGAGTACTGCGTGGTGGGTTTGTGGGTGAATGCGTCAAACCTGGCACAATAGGGATGCGTAGTCAGTATCAACGCCCTTTCCAAACAGCATAACGACAAGACGACTTCATCAAGAACTGGAGGGCACCGCACCATGTAAAGGGAATTTTGATGTGCTGCTCGTCCACCGGGAAGCGCAGGTCCAGCAGCTCGAGCTGCCCGTAGTAGCGGTAGAGCATGTCCCTCCCCGTGACGCTCTCCTTGCCGGCGCCGCGCATGTCCTGGCGCAGGCGGTTGAGCGTGGCGCACTCCTCGGCATAGCGCTCGGGGTCGTCGCCGTACGTGTCGCGGATGTAGGCCTTGAGCGGCGAGACCCAGTCGATCTCATTGGTGGCCTTGGGCGGCGCGGCGATCATGGGAGACTGCGTCATCCTTTGTGCGACTTTTGGGGGGCGGGCGCGGGTGTGCGGACCCGGGATGGGAGGGGGGGTGGTCGTTGAGACGCAAAGAAGACGCAAGACTCGGTCAATGGGCCACGGTCGAGACGGCCAGCAATGTGTCGCATGCGCGTCCGGCTGCGCGGAGGGACAGAGCACGGGGGGACGCTCCAAGCGGGAGGCGGCGGTGCGGTGCGATGGCAAGCTGTGCGAGGTTGGAGCCGTGCGGGCTTGATGAGTTGCGGAGGATGAAAGAGCCCTGGTTGCTGGGGATGAGGGGAGTCTGGTCGATGGAAGGAGAGAGAATGGCGACGGGAGAAACCAGAGACTGAAGCTCAAGAGAGGGAGAAAGAGGCGAAGCCACGACTTGCTTGCGTGTTGGCCTTGCGTGTGCTCGAGCTGTTTCTGTGTGGAGGTAACGCAAGCAAGGTTAGAGCAGAGCAGAGCAGAGCAGCTAAGTGAGTAGCTTGGTGACACCTCTTTTGTTTGGATCTCGTGGTCGAAGCGGGGTCTTGGGTTTTGTCACGGCCGGACAGGAGAGACGGCGATACAAGCACAAGCGATCGCACAGTTTGATGAGAATACAAGGGATCTGAAGAGCAGTGTAGAAGGAGAGGCTTTCGAATTATCACAACGCTCCGAGAAGTGGCCGGCACAGAGATTTCCCAACCTGGTGCCTGGCAGTCAAAACAGTCGCGGTGATGCCATTTGATCCATCTATTTACTACTTCAACTGACTCCTAGCAAGAATAGCCGCTGGTTCAGGCTTTGGGCTCTGCTTAGGCGGGGAGGGAACCCAGGCCTGGCGCCTGTTAGGTACCGAGCTGCGAGCCAAGTTGCTGCGGTTAAGCAGCTGGAGAGGCGTGAAAGCCGCTGTGGAGCGCGGGCGAGCTAAATATTACAGGGGAGGAGCAGCGCCGCTACAGAATTGAAGGTGAAGGGCTGGGGGGGCTCTAGCGCGGTGTGACGGCGGGCCGTGATCATGCATTGATGGGCGGGCTGGGCGTCTTGGAACTGGAACTGGAAGTTGACGGAAGAGAATTTTCACTTCCAACGAAGCGGTGAATGTGAATGACGTACAAAAGTGTCAAAACAGTTGGATCTGGCCATGGATTAGACAGGTAGGGTTGAGGACTATAGCTTGATGTGATGATGGACGGTCCAACGATGGGTTTGACTGTTGGCTTCTTCTGCTGTATACCTATGTAATCACATGCAAACGCAGAGCATGAAGATGCACAGGTAAAATGGATACAGCCTCAATTGCTGAGCCCATCACATCACATCTGGTCCCTAATGTCCATGAACATTTCAATGCCTGTAATTGCCCACCTGCCCACCTATATCAACGCCTGTTTCTCCCTCGCCAAGTAAAGCAATTGTCTGGTATCTGCTGCTCCCCAAGCCCTCCAACAACTTCACCGTCCAAATTCCAATCCACTATCTAATACAGCACGCTTCAACCCAGTCAAGCCCGTCAAAACAATCACAGACAACAACCAAAAAGAGGGGTTCGCACCTTGGACTACCTTAGTTCCATCACCTTCACTTGCCTAGCAATTCCCTTCATCACATCACATAAACTTCCCCCCCAGCAGTATGTAAGATACTTCGTACAAAGTCACCAACCTCTCCTCCACCCCCTTTCATTGGCCACCACCACGGCGCTTCCACCTCCCCAAGCGCAACCCGCTAAAGCACCTAACGGGTATCATCTCGCATCTTCAAGGTTCTTCTCTTTTGCTTCCCTCATCTCCCGCCCATTCAATTGCTCAAACCCATCAATTCATGATGAGACATGGTAGTGTCACTGTTTCCAATCACCAAAGAACCGGTTCCGCACAGGTAAAGAGTTCTTGTGCCCCTCCCCTGCTTCGATGCGACCGAATATGCGGCCTGGATTCGGCAACAGATAGACGCACGAAACCCCAGGCATTGGCCGATATGCATCCGCGTGGCTACACGCCACTCGTAGCCGCCGAGCTGCATCTTGCCCTTCAAACGCCGGACAGCCAATCCTCTTTATGCTTGAATTTCGTCGTCCATTAAAAGATACTGCGGCTCTACCGAGCTCAACCATAGTGTTCCATCCGTATTACCGTTCCAAACCCTCAAATCAGGACAAAGAGACCATAAACGCCCAAAGGTGAAAATCAAGTGTACACACTCTCCGTCCAGGAATTCACTTGCAGCCCCCGTTCCGCCATCTCCGCATCCTTCAAAAAGTCCATCTGCATCCACACCAGGTGCCCCTTGATCTGCGCGAGCTTCTTCTTCGCCTCGTCCGGCGGCATGAACTGGTCGAATATGTGGCCCGACTTGACGCCCCTGGGCGGCAGATAGCGGTCGTAATCGTCAAACGTTTTGACTATCATCCTCACATTAGCTTTGACAGGTCAGAGCATCTCGCTGGGTTGCAAGCCCACTTACTGTGATCGTCTGGATCGGCGTGGAAGAGGTGCCGGAACAGCTCCGTGTTCTTATCTGCTCGACTCGTCCACATATCCCACAACTCGTCGCCCAGCGGATCCTCCACAAGCTTCCAGCTCTCATCATTGTCGTAGATGTCGTTGTTGGGCTCCACGCTGGGCGGCAGAGCATTGATATCGCCCTCGGCATCACAGTCCTGCGGCGGCAGCAGGCCGAGATGCTCTCGCCAGAGGAATCGCCGCAGAGTCATCGCATGGTAGCCCGCCTCAAACGGCTTCCCGTCCATTGTCGTTTGGACCAAGTTGGTGTCTTCCATGACGATACTCAACTCGCTGTCGTGGCTGCCCTGCTGGCTGCGATCGTTGAGGTTGCTCGAGCCGCAAATCACCACTCGATCGTCGGCAATGAGCACCTTGGCGTGCACGTAGAGCTCCTCCTGGATCCAGTTCTTGATCTCAGACTCCGGGTCCGCCCAGGGCTCGTCCTCCAGAGGACTCTGGCCAGCCATGGCGTGGTGCGCGACCGAGGGCGAGGTCTGTACCTCTTCTTTGGGCTTGGCCTTCTCAAAAGCTTCCTTTGCTTGCACAGCCTCGTTGCGCGCCTTTTCCTGCTCGTGTGCCTTGCCCATGTGGAGGTCTCTCTCCTTTTCTATCGGGTCGGACGTCCCGTGGATTCCCTCACCCATAATGTCCTCGGCCAGAACGCGCTGGACTTGCTGATACCCGATGCCCGTCTTCTTCTCGGCTTCGTCGATGGCCGGTGTCTTGTTTAGGCGATCATACGATCTCAGGTTGAAAAAAAAGATGTGCTTGGTAGGATCGACCCCCTGAGCCTTGACCCGCTCAAAGATGGAGTGCTCGCCTCGACATATTGACTTGTACTGGTAGTCCATGATGGCCCTCGTGCCGGACGCGGCATTGTCTCGAAGGTCACCGGCAAAGCCTGGGACGGCGGGGATAATGATGATGATCCTGAACTTTCGGCCTTCTTTTCCAGCCCGCACCACGGCCTCAACAATCGCTTCGCCGATGGTATTGTGGATCGGTGCCTGGTGCTCGCCGGTGGCGGTGATGAAGAACTGATTCTCAATGTAGACGTAGTGCTGCGCTTTGGAAATGACCTCTGAGTACGCGTTTTGAATGGAGCGATCAGTCAGGATGCCGCTGGACCAGTCGGCGCTGGATCTCACGACCTGAGCATGGACCGTTCCTCGACCGAGCAGATTCTTGGTGCTCAGGGGCGTCAGGGGGTGCCTGATGTAGTCGCCCATGGGGTATTTTGGCCGCTGCACTCCGATCAAATCCTCGTCCTCTCCTTCACGACCTTCGAGAATGATCCAGTCAAATCTCTGGTCGCGCTTGTACTTGTCCCGTTTGACAAAGTTCCACCGCAGAACGAAGTGCTCCGCAATGTCATACACGCAGGGGCCGATGACGCCCATGGAGACGTCGTGCCAAGGCATTCGACCGTAATCTGCCTTGCTGAGCTCGTTGTCCTGCCAGTCCTGCACCTTTTTGAAGTCCAAGACGCGGTTGTTGTTGAAATCCTGGCCCGGCCAGACCTCTGCGTGGGGCTCGTCTGGGTGAATATCCGACAGCGGATGTTGGCGAGTATCCCAGCGGCCGAAGCAGAGGTCGAGACCGCCGATGAAGGCAATGGCGTAGTCGATGACGATGAACTTTTCGTGGTGGGCCCAGTACATGGTCATGTCTGCCGCGTTCTCAAGGACGTTGTGATCGGGATGCCGCATGATCTGGATGTTGTTGTAGCCGGGAGATCCTTCGGGGCAAAGGGCCTGCAGGGCGTGTTTTGTGTGTTCCGAGTTGCAAGTAAGGGCCGCCTCCACCTCCTTGTAAACAATGACAAAGATCTTGACTCCCTGTTCCGCTTTGCGCTTCAGGATCTGGTCGAGCCTGTACTCCTGCTTCTGATGAGGGGGCCGTCTGAGGAAGAGCTCCGGCGAGAGCCACCAGTCTGCAATGTAAATGGTTTCCTTGGCCTCTTCCAAGGCGACAGATACCGCCCAGAAATAGTCCCGTCCATCCACATACCACTTGACAAGGTTGCCCTCTCGCTCTGGAAAGTAAGACTGGAAGCGATGGGACGCGCAGATCTTAGTCCGCTTCGCGTCGCAGATTCGCTCGTGCTCCTCATCATGGCGATGCTCTCTGTTGAACAGATTGCCGAATTTTCCAATCTGGTGCTTCTTGTGTGACACGGCTGCTTTGGCGTCGTAGAGCTTGGTTTCGTGGAGCTTGCCTCTCAAGCTGTCCATGAGGCCGTGAAAGCCGTGAGAGCCGTGGCTCCCACTCTGCGCCGGCTTAGGGGCAGCCATGGTGAGCGACTGCTGATGTGCTGGATACAGATGTCTACTGATTCAAGAGGCGGCGATGTGGGAACGCAAATCACAGGTGATAAAGGGAGGATGCTGGTATAACAGGTATAACAGTGATCGAATACGGAGGGTCAAAAAGAAGTCCGGACAAGGGAGCGTCCAACCGCCGCGAGCATTGCCTATATAAGACAACCGGCTGGCATGGCATGCTACCACGCCAAGACGAGGCCATCAAGGAAGAGGCAGCGGGAAGCGGGGGTGAAGCTCAGCAGACTTTCACAAGATGAGAGCATGACGAAGGATCGACCCGAACGGAACTAGCTGAGCCAGCCCTGCCCGTCACCGAGTGGCCGCGCTTCCTCGGACGCAGATGATGGCGGCGCCACAGGGCTGGGGCCTCGAATGGCAGCAGAGCGTCTGCGGCTCCGGTCGGGGTCAATCTGGCTCCGGCTGCTCATGCAAAGAAGGGCCAGTGCAGCTTCACATGGTTCTGGGTTCGCTGGTTTTCAAGTTTTCGATGTTGCTGTTGTCTGTTTCACCTGGTCTGGGCCCATTGTTGTGTTACGAGTACGATACAAGCATGTGGCACCAGCTCGCTCTTGGCAGGCTGAATGGCCGGTTGAGTGGAGGGGCGGCCTGCTCGTACAGAATAGAAATGACGTCATCGGATTCAAGCAGTGACCTCAAGGAAAGTGAAGAGGTTGATGAGACTCGAGCCGAAATGACGTAGCCATCAGTAGGGCGAGCTTTGTCTGTTGTGAGAGCCGGTGATTCAAATCTTGAAGTGACGCTTTTGAAGGTGCATAAAACAATCTGGCAAGTCTGGAATGAAGAGATTTGGAGGTTGATGCTGGCTTGGCGATCCGTCTCGCATGCTAAAAAGTTCGAGATCTGCTTTGGACCCTTGTGGATTGAGCAAGACGCCGCGACTGGAAGGCAGCGGCGGGTACTACTAGACTACATAGATGGTGGCAAAGATGGATTGATGGAACGGTTGGAGTTTGAGTCATGATCCGCCGTTCATCCTCATTTCGAAGGGCTCCAGATAAGAAGCAGCCCCGACTTTACGCGGACTGAACTTCAGGGGCAGACTCGGAGTCAGTGAAGCCAGCGGTGGCTGTCGAGACTGACGCGTAAACGACCCTTGGGTAAGCATCCGAGCATTTCCCTTTCCATGTGGGCGATGGAAGCTAAGCCAATGCCATGCCTCAGAAATGCGGAGAAGATGCAAATGCAGGGCCTGAAGCGTGAGTCCCCGCAATGGCTTACATAAGGTACACTTGCTGTTACAGGTCGTCTCTGTCTGTATATCTCGTAGAGTCTCTGTGATACTCTCTGTCTCTTCCTTTCTTACTGCTCAACGGCCTCTGATATTGCGCTCGTCACTGTCCAAACATAACCATCGTATATTGATAGTCCATGTAATAACATTGCTCCTCCCCATAATACATACTGGTAACCCCATAATGCAACCCTTGCCCCTCTCTCTCGCATCCATCCATCCTCACTGCACCTCATCCCTCCTGAGCCACGCCTGGCCAATCAACCCCACCTGTGCCTCATTGCCCCACCAGCTCCCAAACAAGACAGACAGCATGTCGAGCATTCACCGACTTACCACCTGATACAAAGCACCAGCTTCCTTTCTGCCTCTTCCTCACTTCTACCCCCTTACAGCTCCCCGTTCGACTCAATTCATCTCCAACTTCCGCAAACCATCTAGAACAGCCTCCTCAATACCAGAATCCATCATCATGTCTGCTCCTGTCATCCCCGCCGGCGGCACCATCGTCGACACCTTCAAGCAGTCCTTTGTCGACGTGCCCATTGATGCCGAACATGGCAACGCCATTGCCACCAGCCCGTTCCTCGACGCTGCCGAGTCCCTAACCACCATGTTTGGTAAGTTCTCTCTCTTTTCCATCTATGTAGCCTCTTCAATTCATCCTGCTCAAGCTTCGTAGCTAACCTCGTGCTATTGCAGATGTCCTGGGCTCCGTCGCCTTCTCTCCCGTCAAGAGCGACATGCTGGGCAACGTCAAGGTAAGCTAGCTGCCCATTGGGGCCAACCTCATCAATTGAACGGGCAAAGGCTGACATGTACCGTTCCCCCGTCTAGAAACTCCGTGACCGCCAGGCCGCCGCCCCCGCCGAGTCCAAGAACATCCAGGACCTCTGCCGCAACGAGCTCAAGACCAAGAAGCACACTGCCACCGAGGGTCTCCTGTGGCTCGTCCGGTACGTAATCTCGCCCTCTCGGAACACCCTGTTAGAAAGATACGGGGTCACTAACAAACGCTCGACCAGTGGTCTTGAATTCACCTGCCTCGCCCTCAGCGCCAACGTGGCCAAGCCCACCGAGGAGCTCGCCGACTCCTTCCGAACCGCCTACGGCTCGACCCTGAAGCCTCACCACAGCTTCCTCATCAAGCCCGTCTTCAGCGCCGCCATGAGCGCCTGCCCCTACCGCAACGACTTCTACAGCAAGCTGGGATCCGACCAGGACAAGGTCGTTTCCGATCTGAGGGTCTACCTGGCCTCTCTGGAGAAGATTGTCGGCATCCTGAAGGGCTTCCTCGACACGGAGGGTAAGTGGTAAGCGTGTGACTGGCATTTAAGCGGCCCGACTGCGCGTTTCTGGTATATATTGGTATTTACGAGGAACAACTCGAGGCGAGTATATCTATTGTGATGATTAGCCGGTCAAATATACTAGCGTCTTGAAGAATTGAGCTGCACGTCTATGATGATGTGTGTGACGAACAGTGCATGTTGCATCTGAACTTGTGTGTTACACAAATGATTACATTGGGTGTGCCTTGTGTTGTACCCAGTTTAGGTTCAAGATCATGGACCATACCAGTATATCCCACTCCGCGAACGGCACATCTTTTACCAGCTCTGATTTTTATAATAGACCCAATCATAACGGGCACTCAATGCAATGATCCTATCTGCTAGGAAGCCAATATTCATGTCGGGCAGAATAGTTCATTCATATACCTACCATCCAGTGTTTCTCAACCAAGTCATTGAGAAGCCTCTCTCCCCTAAATGTTTGGCTCCAAATATGCCTCCAGAGCAGAAGTGATTCAACGTGCTTCTATGAGAAAGCAAAAAGAGTTTGACGTCTGAATTGCAAGAGAAAAGTCAGACTCAGGCAGCGCACTGGGTGTCTTGTGACTAACATGAGCATAGCACTTGTTGCGTCTTAACAGCTCTCCGTTATGATACGCCGCCATGCACACCACACCATTGCGCCAGCAAGTTCAAGCAAAATAAAAACCCGTCTCTCCTCTTCTTCGGAAGCAAAATCTTCAAGAACCTGCGATCCCAATTTAAAACGGGGTTTCCATATCCCCTGAATAATAGCTATCAATTTCCAAAAACCCGCAGTGCAATTCTGCAAATCCATCCTCCACCACCCCCCTGAATATCCCTCCAGGTTAAGCAACGCGACCATCTCACATACATTTACACAAAGCCAACCCCATCTTCAACATCACAAAACCCCAATTTGAGATACTAAAAACATCCAGTGAGCCCACCAACTCCTCTCCCCAAGAAGTTATCCTTGAATCACAGCACATATATACTGTAATTCTTCACATATTGCCATCCAGGTCCCATTGATGCAAGCTAAACCAGACAAAGCATTTCAACCCCATACCACAGCCCGATATCCCTTCCCAAGAAAAGAAATCTACACCCCTCCCTACCTTAAATGTTCCAATAGCATATCCGAACCTTCCGAAACCTCCCGCAATCTAACTACAAATTTACACTACCCTTCTCTCCCTACCCTAATACCTACATCTCACGCCAAACCTCTATCAGTGTGCAATATTACCATGTTTTCCGTATCTGGTAGCTCTCGCAAGACATTTTACTAGCAGAACGATTTCGTTCCAGCTCGCCACTGGGCTATCAGTAGTATGTAACTTGTTAGTATGCCGTCTCTTGGCGGATCTTGCCAAGTCTGGCCATGAACCCTGGAATCTTACATCTTCCTATCCGTGTGCGTCGACCCGTATGAAAAGCACCCGAAAGCCACACAGACTACGGCTCTCTGCTCCCGTGAGAGCAAGGCCTAGAAAAGCCCAGGTGAGTGCATTGGAGAACGATTGGTGTAATAGTTGACGCCACGAATGTGATTGCCAGACGAGCGTGTACCATCAAGATGCGATGGGTGGGTGGGCTTCAATAAGCAGACGTAAGATAAGCCAAACATCGTCTTACATGTATGAGTGAAAAAGACGATATATATTCGCATTATAAGACGGATCGATCGATCCAGACAATCTTGAAGGTGAAATAACAAATACATCTTGCCAAACAACTCTCGTTTTATATCGAAACAACGGCACTCTCTTCGCCGCTTCTATGCACACCCAACGCCAGCAATACCCGTTCGCTAAATAAATTCCTCTGGACGTAATCATCCCCCATGCACGCATGCTTGTCTTGTCTGGTCTTGTCTACTAACGCTTGTCTACCCAGCACATCGGAATGACTGAGGTTATCAAGAGACACGGGCGAATAAGAAAAGAAAAGGGCGAGGAAAACGAAACGCTACAAGACGCCAATCAAGGAAAAGCCGAAATGGAAGGGAAAAAGGTCAAAAAGGGCCAGCTGGTGTCGTTCTGAAGGATAAAAGGCTCGCCGATTTCGACCTAAGCGGCATGAGGCTCGGCCGGGGGATCTTCAAACGCTTCGTCTTCATGGACCGCATCGACTCCCTGTCCGTGTCGTGCTGCTGACCCAGCCAGTTGGCTATGGCCTGCGTCGCCTCTCCGTATTCGACCTCGACGCTCTCCTTTTGTACCATTGGCGGAGGGCAGTCCCATGCGTGCTTCTCCTTGGCGACGACTCGCAGAGTGAGTGTCTTGTCCATCTTCTTTAACCTGTCTGCGAAACGGAGGCCTTCGGCGAGAAGCATATCGTATTCGCACAGGCATAGATGGACAGGTGGCAGCTTCGCCACGAGTTCGTCAGGCAGCAGGCCGGGGGAGAGTCTGAGGTCGGCACGCAGGGGGCGAGGGATGGGAGGATAGACGTATGAGGCATCGATGAGGTCCGTCAGTCCCTTGGAAAGCGTGAGATCGGGACGGGAACAGCTCAGCCTCTTTTCTTGCCTGGGGATGGTGAAGTCCAAGCCGGGATAGAAGAGAACGAGCCCCGTGATGCGTGGGGGGATAAAAGGCAGCGTGTAATTCCAACGCTCCGGCTCCTGCATGATGATCCAGCTGGCGAGGGTCATGGTGCCACCGGCGGAGAAGCCCGAGAGGATGATGCGGTTGGGGTCGATGCCGAATTGTGCGGCGCGCTTCGCTATTTGGCAAATGGCGTCGACACAATCCTCAACGGGGGTTGGGAACGGGTAGGTGGGAGCCAGGCGGTAGTTGACAGTGAAGACAACGGCATCGAGCGAGGTCATGACCGCACATGCCCATCGCGCGCTGTCGGTGCCCTGGCCGAGGATCCATCCGCCCCCGTGGAGAGCCACAACGGCGGCACGAGGCCCGACGGCCAGACGCGGCGGCGTCCACACCTCGACCCTGATCTTCTTGGGTCCCTTGCATGCGGCGAGCGTGGAGTCGGCCCAGAACTCGGTGGACGGCGTGGGAGCCGCAGGCTCGGTGCGGTTGGCGATGCTGAAGCCGAGACTGGAGGCATAGCGGATGGCCTGAGCCCGCGCGTTCAGGGACCAGCGGGAACTGCTCTGCAAGGGGTTGACATAGTCCTCGGGCTCCGGGACTGTCGGTTTCCTCACCGGGTCCGGGACGATTTCCATGAGTGAGGCGCCTTGTCCCACGAGACTGTTCACGGCAGCAAAAAGCGATTGAATTTGGCTGGTGCTGTGACGCTCTTGGGCCTACGGAAAGGCTGGGCGAGCGCGGATTGGCTGCGCTGGGGAATGAGACAGGCGGGGTGAATGGAGGAGAGGGGCGTAGACTAAAGCGAGTGAGATGGACAGAGAAGAGGAGGAGAGGAAAAGTCTGATCAGATGAGGGGTGGCGGCACGAGGCACGGAAAAGGTACGGCTCAGGAGACGAGGCGCAAAAAGGGGGGAGGATGCGGTACGTGGCGATACTTGAAGATGTTGCGATAGATGAGGCGATTGTGCTGTTGGGACTGTGTCATGCCACTTTGCAGCCGCCTTGCTACAGTCTGGATTACACGTCATCGGGACTCCCCCGTTGTAGATTGACCTGGGGGAATGCGGAGAATCTTTTTGCCCTGTTACTACGGGCCAGGTGGCTCCCGCCCTAGGGCTTATTGGTCAGTCGCTAGCACTGAGATGGGCTTATCTTGACTTGAAGAAGATGGTGAGGGCGAACATGCGGCGACAGAGACTGGAGGGAAGCAGAGGAGAGGCGTGGAAGGGACCATCAACACCAAGTGGGCAACGGACCAGTGTTAGCAGCCGATGGCCGATTGAGCAAGGCATGTAGGCATGTATCGTATTTCTCGTGGAGACGCTGCGACGCGAGACACATGGGAGCGGGCTCGGCAACCTCGGTATTGGACGCTAGCTGGGAGCCAGCCACAGGGCGTGAACGACCTCGTCTGATTCGATGGAGACGGGATTGCAGAGTGAACTGGTGGCGGGTGTCTGAATGAAGGGGCGGTTTGCTTTGGGCAACGAAGAAGTAATGGATTCAAGAGGATGAGGCCATGGGCGCATCCGACTCACGAGGCTAGAGATGTTCTAGAAAACTGCGCAAACGTAGCACCGTCGTCAACAAACAGGTGCATACTCGTACACATTCAACCACTGCTGTCAACATGGAAGCTTGAAATCTTGCTGAACTGCTGCAGCATCCTGGCAGGGAAAAATCGGAGCAGCGACTCCGTAACTCGTGCAGGGTCCAGCTGCATGGAAGTCGTTGGAATCAACCGCGAGCACAGGCCATGCATGACGTCGGCCGAGGTTGAACGCAGCGATACTGGGGCCGTGGGGGGACCCGGGCCTTTTTGTGCTTCATGTTGTTGCTCGCATGACTTGGCGGCCCTGATCGGGAGACGATTTCGCGTCCGTGCCTCGATGCGGACGAGGTCCATCTCCGAGAGCGCCTGACGTCAGAAGCGTTGCTTTGATGCTGGAGAGAGAGACTGGGTGAATTGCTGCGACGACGGACGGAACGCAATGTACTCCGAGTCTACGATGTCCGATGTTCCATGGAGCATGTCCGACGTTGGCCGCAAACTGGCGCAGCAACAGCAGCACCCACGGCCCTGAGAGCACATGATAATAGTAGCACCCTGGTATTAACGCATACTGTAGCACTTTGGAGGGATTCACTTGCTGCTGCTCGTTGCAAGTTCCCAGCAGGGCACAAGGGCAAGACGCCGGCAGATGGGTTGGCGCCCTGTTGCGGCTAGCTCCGTGATGCTTCTTCATGTCAGCATTCCAAGGTGGTGTGCGGCTCTGGTCTCTGGCACTTGGTACAGGATGGGACAACTGAAAAGGCCTGCCAATTCCCTGCAAATCTCCCATCTTAATACCTTATTTGCCCAATTGCCAATGAGATCAAGGAAATCCGTAGCTTAAACTGCACACAGCCGACCAACGCGATCCATTTCGTCGACTGGTCTGCCAGGTTGGGCATGGGCATCGCGTGGAAAAAATTACATCATCAGTCGCTTAACGGAGTCACCCGATGCAGGGCCGTGTTTTTCATCCGCAGATGCATCACCATTATTCATCAATTTGGAAGCGGGAGATGGGCATGGGCGATCTGCCTCCTTCGCGCTTAGAGCACAAGCCCGGCAGTCCGCTTTCATCTGCAGACGCCCGGCCTTGGCTTGGGCACTCGATGTCGCCTAATCAAGGTACTGACAGACGGCTTGGCTCGTGTGACGCTTATATGTAACTGCTGTGCAATGCCAGCCGAAAGCGCGCATCACTGTCACAGGCCAGCAGCAAGGATCAAGGAACAGGCACATGTGCCAAGCCAGCAGAGTGCTGCATGCAGCCAGAACTCCAGATGGCGTTCTCCCCTCACGCCCCTGGACCAAAGCATGGCAGCTGGCGGGCTCAGTCAGCGACAGCGGCGCTTAGATATCGGCTTAGGGAGGGCTCAGTCATTGCAGTCATTGCCGTGTTGATGGCTGTCGCGTAAACAGTTTCTAAGCTCGAAAGCTGCAAGCTCCCACGCTCTCCCTAAGCTCTAGCCTCAGACACGGCGCCCCCTCATCAGCTGCGACCCAGTCCAAGGCAGTGAATTCCGCGGGCTCCAAACGTGCCCTGCGGATAGGCTGTCGGGGTCGGGCGGAGACTAAAGTCCAAGGACAGGGCAGACAAGCAGACAGAAAGTGGCTGCATGTGGACTCGACGCTGGCTCGGTTCGGCGCCGCTGTAGTTTGTCATTTGATAGCACCATTGTCATATGTATCGCTGGATTCGAAGGCTTTTCGCTTCTTCTTTGTCCTGACCCCCTTGTCATCTCGTCAGAAGTGGCCGTCCGTCTTATATAAGGCCTGAGCAGCCTGTCCAGGAGCCACTGCCGTCTCCCTCCCTTCCCTCTCCCAACCATCCCTCCTCCTACCTCGTACCTGTCTTGTCTTGCCTTGCCTTGACTTGACTTGCTGCCTGGAGCTCAAGACACACAAACACAAACACAAACACACACCGCGCACGCACGCATAAACCGCTAATCAAACATCACCCTCCATTTGCCACTATTCCTGTGCCAGCCACCCTCCCTCGACGCATCAACTACCGGTTTTTCATATTCCCATTGTCCAAAAATAACCCCGCGGGCGAATCAATCCCTGCAAACACCCAGCCGTCGTCACCGCAGACGCGGCAGTGAGTGATTCAGTCCAACGTCATTGACCGTGAAGCGATCACAACAGAGCGGAGGCGAAAAAAAAAAAAAAAAAAGGACGCACAAGGCTGTCAGGGCCGAGCTTCGATAACATCATCAGGCCTGAAGGGGAAGCATAGCGCCGCACAAGTGCCTAAGAGAGCCCCAGTCAGCGCTGCGTCTGCTCTTGTGGTCCTGGTTCCTTTTCAACCTTGACTGCGAAACCCCGCCAACGAGCCCCGCGAACTCCGGCAGCGCAACTCGACTGAGGCATAGCGGACACGCCTTGCCCCCCCCGTTGCCACACCTTCTTCTCTCCTTCATTGTGCGACTTCCCACCCCCGTCCGGCCAATCACTCCCATCGCTTCAGTCGCTCTGCGAGCCTTGGCGGCGATAATCCAGGTGCTACATCGCGCTGCGTACCTTGCTTCCGTCACTATAAACGGATAGCTCATTCACTCCCGTCAACAAGGCCCTCGAGATCCAGCCCGGAAACCAGTATATAGCGTCATCATGCCGGCCACGGACAGCGGGAGAAACTCCCCCATTCTCTCGGCCTTTGGCCTGCCTTTGCGCTCTAACAGCACCAGAAGCAGCAGACGACAGAGCCCTGACCGTGTCACGCCTCGCGAAACACTCCCCAGGAACTACAACAGCGGCACGGGGAGCAACCGCAGCAGCTACCACCAGTACACGATGAACGCAACGCCCACGTCGGCCACGCCCCAGGCGTCGTCGCTGTCCATCCCCAGCTCGCCCGTCGCCCCCGCCGTCCACAGCGAGGCCACGCGCCAGATCCTGGCCACCATGAACGAGGGCGGCGGCCGCAGGTCGGCCCAGGGCTCGCCGCGGTCCAGCATGGACAACTCGGGCGCCTCCTTCGACAGCGTCCGCAGCAGCGGCTCCGACTGGCCCACGCACCCCTATGAGCTCAACACCATTGCCGAGCTGGACAAGCTGCCCATTGGCACCGAGGTCACCTTCCGCGGCCGCATACACACCCAGCGCCAGCTCTCCAAGGCCCTCGACTTCCTCCTCCTCCGCGACCAGACCTACTCCGTCCAAGGTGTCCTCTCGAGAGAGAACATGGACATGGTCCAGTGGGTACAGAAGCTCCCTGCCGAGTCGCTGCTTCAAGTCAACGGCGTGCTCAAGGAGCCTCCGGAGCCCGTTCGATCTGCCACCGTCTCCCACGCGGAGGTTGACATCCACGGCCTGTGGCTCGTCAACCCGGCGCAAAACGCCCCCTTCAGCGTCTACAGACCCCCCGAGGCACTGCGCAGCCGCATGCAGTCGCGTATCCTCGATCTGCGACACCCGGCCAACCAGGCCCTGTTCCGCATCCGATCCATGGTCTCCCGCCAGTTCCGGGACACTCTCGAGGCCTACGGCTTTGTAGAGATCAACACCCCCAAGCTGCAGCCTGCCGCCACCGAGAGCGGTGCCTCCGTTTTCAAGGTCAACTACTTTGGCCGCAAGGCCTTCCTGGCCCAGAGCCCCCAGCTCGCCAAGCAAATGGCCATCTCTTCCGACTTTGGTCGCGTCTACGAGATTGGTCCCGTCTTCCGCGCCGAAAACTCAAACACCCATCGCCACCTTACCGAGTACACCGGCTTGGATCTCGAAATGGCCATTGAGCATGACTACCACGAGGTGATCCAGCTCCTTGACGAGTTCCTCAAGAACGTCTTCAAGGCCGTCTACGCCATGCCCGAGGTCGAGGTCCTCAAGCAGCGATGGCCCAGCAAGGAGTTCAAGTATCTGGACGAGACGCTGATTCTCGACTTCCGAGACGGTCTCCAGATGCTTCGAGACGACGGTCGTGACGTTGCCGAGGAGGATCTCTCCACCCCTGATGAGATTCGGCTGGGTGAGCTCGTGCGGGAGAAGTACAACACCGACTACTACGTGCTGGACCGCTTCCCTACAAACGCCCGTCCCTTCTATACCCACAAGGACCCCGAGGATCCCCGGTGGACCCGGTCGTTTGACATCTTCATCCGCGGCCAGGAGATTTGCTCCGGTGGCCAGCGTATCCACGATGCCGGAGAGCTGCGCGCCAACATGTCCGCCGCCGGCATTGCCGAAGAGGGCATGGAGGAGTACCTGGCCGGCTTCGACCTCGGCGCGCCGCCCCATGCCGGCGCCGGTCTCGGTCTCGAGCGTATCGTGACCTGGATGCTCGAGCTAGGAGACGTGCGGAACGCCTCGCTCTTCTACCGCGACCCCAAGTCTCTCCCCGACCGCAAGCCCGGCCTGCCTCACCCCGAGGCCGACACCACGAAGCCCTATGCCGCGCTCCACACGCCTCCGGTCGAGAAGCTCATTGCCAACTACGGCGATGCCTCCAACACCTCTTGGCTCGACGAGCGATTCGAGATTTGGCGACACAAGACTGGCGCCGCCGTGGGCTATGTCAAGCAGGACAAGTTTGCCATGGTCACCGGCGACCCCCTCTGCGATAGGTCGCAATACAAGGACGTCATCTCGGACTTTGTCAAGTACATTGTGACGGAGCTCCGCCTGGTCCCCATCTGGATGCTCGTCTCGTACGAGGTGCAAAAGATTCTGGCCCACGACCTCGGCTGGCGAACCCTGTCTTGCACGGAGGAGCAGCGCGTCGACACCACCCGACACCAGAGCCCGGCCGGCGGCCCCAAGGCCCGCAGAGTCGAGCGTGAGGGCGTTAAGATCCACGAGGTCAAGCCCGATGAGGACTTCATCAGGCGCGCCAACGAGGGCATCGAGGCCTGGAAGGCCAACCGCAAGGGCAAGCAGGTCCACCTGACCGAGGTGCGCCCCTGGGTCGACCAGGAGCACCGCCGCTACTTCGCCGCCGAGAAGGACGGCAAGGTCCACGCCATGGTGGTGCTGGCCAAGCTGGCCCCCCGCCACGGCTGGCAGGTCAAGTGGGCTCTGGACTTCCCCGGAGCCGTCAACGGCGCCATTGAGGTGCTCATTGAGTACGCGCTGTCGTGCGTCACCGGCGCCCAGGTGACGTTTGGCGTCGGCGTGTCGGAGAAGCTGACGCCTGGAGAGCATCTCCACGGCATTCGGGCTAAGTTCCTCGCCACCACGTACCGCTCCATTGTCGAGAGCCTTGGCCTGCGGAGAAAGGCGGGCTTCCGATCCAAGTTTGGTGCTCTGGGTGAGGAGGTGTACATCTGCTACCCCAAGCACGGCGTCGGCCTGCGAGACTTGCAGCAAGTCATCAAGTTCTTCCAAGATTAAGCTTGCTTGTCCCTCCCCCCTTGAAAGACACGACATGATACCCATTGACTACCACTGGAAATGAAAGCATAAAAAAAACATGAAAAGAAAGCAAAGGAAAGCTGAAAAGTAGCGAAGACAAGGACACGGAAAAGCAAGATGTCGATAAACGGGGTCTGTGGAGTCTGGCAGTGACGAGATAATGGAGGAAAGATCTTTTGGCACACGGGAGGGATGGAGGGGAGGGGGAAATGATGAATGACCTGCACATTGTTTACTTCGCCTTGATTTCTGTATTTTTTTTTCCCCCTTAACCCCCCTAAGATACCGATGTTATGTTATTCTTCTTCTCTTCGCTCATGGTATGGACTAGGCATCTCTGTGTTTGGTTGATAGATGGGTTGGTTTGGTCTGTTTTTGATTCCCCTCTTGTTGGCTGGCATACGGGACCGGAGGGAGGATGAGGAGGGACCTACAACGTTTTGGTTTGAGTAGTATTACGTTTGACGAATATGTTATGATGCACAATTATTCTGCGTTGTCATTGATGTCATCTGAGCCTATCCATGACTTGAGAGAACGTTTACGTTGCTATTCAAGAGCTCATACCGGGTAGGCTCTGGTTTCGCTCGGTGGTCTATGTAGCACTACAAGGGCGAAAAATCTCGATGGGTTTCCACTATCCTGACACCAATTTCTATCTTCCTTCCCTGCCTACCTAGCCATCTGAGCGCCCCTCTTTCACTCGTGCCATGATATGTACAGCATGATGCCAGCGCCGACGGCCACGGCGGTGAACTGGGTCAGCGTCTTGCGCAGCTCGAGCATCTTGTTGGGGCCCGTCTCGAGCAGCTCCGGGATGACGGCGACGGTGCCGACGTAGAGAAAGGTTCCCGCCGTAAAAGGCAGCAACATGTCGCCCCAGGTCTTGAACAACAACAACAACGAACTCACAAGTCAGCAAAGAAGCCCATTTGGGAATCCCCAAGAGGTATGTAGGGAGAAGGGAAGTTGTGGGATGAAAAACGTACAAGACTCGTGCCCCAAAGCCCGGCGTTCCTGGCCATGGCTCCACCATCATCACCATGAGCACCACCAGACCCAAACTCCTGCACGGCGATGCCAATGAGGGTGCCCATGAAGGCGCCGATGGCGGTGACGAACTGGGAGGCCATGGCGGCGCGCTTGGAGAAGCCGGACTGGACGAGGAGGGCAAAGTCGCCGACCTCGTGGGGGATCTCGTGGAAGAAGACGGCGACGGTGGTGGTTGCGCCGATGGTGGGCGAGGCGTAGAAGCTGGCGGACATGGCGAGGCCGTCGGTGATGTTGTGGGTGAAGTCGGCGCTGGGGGGTTGACACAGAAATATGTTAGTCGAGCTTTTTGTTTTGTGTATGAAATGAGGCGCGCGCGTGTGTGTGCCTGGGTGCCTGTGGAGGGAACTTACATCAAGTTGAGGTAGCCCCCGAGCTTTACGCTGGGGTTAATCTCCTTGAGCTGCGATTGCTCGTCGACAGGGTTCTTCTTGGCGCTCTTGTTTGCTTTTCGCGACTTGGCTTCGTTCTTGAGCGTGCTCGCGCCGGTGGAGATGCCGACGTCTGTCGACACCTTGTGCTGCTCTTGATGCGAATGCCCGTGCGAATGCTCGTGCCCGGCACCGCCCGTCGCAATCCTCAGCCCCTTGTCCATGGCCACAAACGTCATGAAGCCCACCAGGATGGCCAAGCCGAGGACGAGGTTCCGATTCGGCTCAACCAGCACGAAGCGCGCCCTGTCCGCCTCGTCCTCGCCGACAAAGATCTCGGGCAGCAGGTGGAAGAGGGTGTCGCCGAGCAGGCCGCCGACGGCGAAGGCGACCATGACGGAGAGCGAGGACGGGTCGATGTCTGTCGGGACGAGGGCGAGGAGGAAGTTGGGCGGGCCGGAGATGTAGAGCGTGGCGAGGAGGGCGTTGACGGCGGGGGAGCCGGGGAAGAGCACGGAGAAGAGGGTGGTCGTGAGGGAGGAGGGGGATGATTCGAAGTGGGCGCGCTTGGCGGCGTTGAGCTGCTGGACGACGGGGCATGTCTGCATAGGAGTTTGAGTTAGCTGCGTGTGATGTGGAAGGGTTGTGGTTGGAGCTGTCTGTTGTGATATACCTGGAGCTGGTCGTCGAGCTCTTCCAAGCTCAGAGACTCAATGGCTGCTGCTGCTGCTGCAGTGGTCTTGACCTGCGACGCGGCAGCACAAGCTGCTAGTAGGAAGAAGCATGATGCAGCTAGAGCCGTGAAGGTGCTGCTGCGTCGAGCCATTGCGGGAGCAGGTTGACGATTGGAGCTCGTCACTTGGCTCGTTGATACGGTAGAGGTGCGATGGAAAGATGACGATGATTTGCTAGTGTCGAGCGATGGATGGCCGAATCAGGGCGGAAAGACACGAATACGACTGTCCATGTCCGAGCCCACTTTTTGCCTTTTGCCTCTTTGGGCATGTTTGGGTAACAAGGGCAGCTTGATGGGAAGGCGTTTGGCCGTTGTTGCACATCGAAGCTGGGCGCAATTGATGAGGCATCTTGTATACAAGGTTCGTCCTGGACCTGCAACAGCAATGGCACCCGAGGAAGTCGATTACTACTACTACCTGTACCTGGGACGGAAGGAAAGCAACGCTCGGGACATGGAGAGGCCCCGACTGGCGGATCCGAGCTCGGCTTAGGTAAACTCTCAACCTCGATGATGAGATGAACATGTTGGCCAACCTCATCAGCATGAGGGGACATCGTCTGAAATGGTTCTTTGGCACGGGGCAACGAATACTAGGTATGCTGTTTGAACTCGTGACGTACTAACTCATGCCCCGTACCTGGCACTACCACGATGGCGGCGCCGCATCTCTACCACGGCCGCTACTAGTATCTCTCGGCAATGGCTCATGTATCTCGAAGCGACGAGCCATTGAATAGATGGTTACCGATCGCCTTTGTTGCAATCCGTGTGCTTTTTATAAAGACGAGTCATAGGAACTGCTTGAGAGGTGTGGCGCGATCATCCTCTTATGCTGAGCATACCTTGACGTCTGATTCACTCCCATCCTGCTCTCTGACAAGCATCATCACGATGAAATACGTAGTAGGACGATGCAATCAAACGATGTGTCCATCTCATTGAAGGAGATCAAACTCTACAGTTTGTACGCTTAGGCTTTCTTTAGAGACAGAGACGGTCGCACTCCATCTCAACCACCAACGTGTGTTTGTGAGATTCTTCGTTTGTGCGAATACAAGGTTCTCAAGTTGCATCGCCCCTTATTGACCGAAGGCAGAGGAGATCCAAGAATAACCATTTCGTCCATGCTTATATTTAGACAACTACCTACATGTACCTAATATGGCAGCTACCTTACCTACTTGCCCCCTGGCTACGGTTAACCTGCGCTCCATATGCGGTCTGACGATGAAAAATACCACCTCAGCTGACGACCTCCATAACTGGCGATACCTTCCATTTCCAGCCAAATCTTTTGTGTAAACCAACCAACTTCCGCTTCGAATATAGCATGGAGCCTAGGTAGCAATCGATGCAATTATAAAAGTAATTGCTTCGCCCACTCACCAAGAAGTCTTCCTGAAAGACAACAACAAGGTACTATTATAAGGCCTCAGCCAAGATGCCATCCCTCAACTCAGCAGGCCTCGCCTCACTCCTCCTCTTCGCCCTCCCCAAGGCCACCACCGCAGCCGCCAACGATGTCGACGCCGGCTTCGACGCCTACGCCGCCGCCCAAGTAATGGTCGACAAGGCCTCCCACTCGTGGGAATGGGGCACCGCCGCCGAAGCCCTCCTCGAGCTGCACAACCCGGAGCTCTCCGTCTTCGGCCCGGACCCCTTCCCCGACGGCAAGATCCCCTCAGCCGACCCCAGCACGACGGCCCTCGCCTACGCGAAGCAGTTCATCAACCGCGACTCGCAGACGCTCGTCAACGACACCGCGGTGGGCGATCCGGCGTCGCTGGGCGTCTCGGCGGTGCTGCTGGGGCAGTCGGACGACGTCTACATCGGGGCGGCGGAGCGAGAGGCCGACTTTCTGCTCAATGTTGCGCCGAGGTTCAGCAACGGCGCCATTTCGCATCGGCCGGATGTTGCTGAGCTGTGGGCGGACAACATGGCCATGTCGTTTCCGTTTTGTACGTTCTCTTCTCTTTTCCAATCCCTGTATTATGCGTCGATATGTACAAGGGGGTATAACTGACACAGTCATCATCATCAAGTGGCCTATCTCGCCGTTGAGCAGAACAGCACCTCCTTAATGGCCACCACGGTCCAGCAATGCGGCCTCCAGCGCGAGATCCTCAAGAGCGGCAACGGCCTCAGCTGGCAGCACATCATCGGCCCCCAGTCCCAAGACACGGGCCTCTGGTCGACGGGCAACGGCTGGGCGGGCTACGGCATGGTACGCGTCCTCCACACGCTGCAGAAATGGAGCGCCTCCTCGGCCTCGATGGCTGCCGAGGCCGCCCAGCTCAAGGGGTGGATCAAGGAGATCCTCGACGGCGCGATGCAGGCGGGCTCGGCGGACGGCGGGCTGCTGCGCAACTACCTCGACGACGCGAGCTGGTTTGGCGAGATCTCGGGGACTGCGGTCCTCAGCGCCGTGGCGTATCGGATGGCCGTCAACGACCCGGCCATGTTCCCGCAGTCGTATGTCGCCTGGGCGGATGCGAACAGGAGGACCCTCGCCGCGAAGCAGGACGCAAACGGCCTATTCTCGCCGGCCGTGAATCCGTACGACTGGCATGATAGGAGCGAGTACACTGCTGGATCGCCCGAGGGCCAAGCGTTCGCCGTGTACTTGTATACGGCGTACAGGGACTGCGTCGGCGCCGGGGTTTGTCAAGCCTGAAGTTTTGTGTCTGAGGGCGGTTTATTTACATGTATATACTGTGTTATCTCTCTCAACATACACCTTTGCTGATTCACACATTCATTAGCATCTTCCTCTCTATGATTGACCATGAATCAGTTGATCCACCAGGCCGCAGATGTAATGAATCGTCCAAGGAGTAGACGTGGATATAAGCCGTCCGGAGCAGACAGATTCCGTCTTGAATGTCTGATGTGCGCGCGGGGTCATCTCCCACATCCCCATGGTCTGAATATTAATCAGTTGAATCGGTCAGACTTCCTTCGACACGGGGTCCCTCTCTACAAACACCACATCACATACACACCATGGCATTCGAGGCTGAGACAGACAACTCGGACGCCGTGAGACCATGCCGAAGCCGTCGACACCCCCTTCAGAGGAATCTGATGAAAGGCCGGCCAGCCCTGGAGGAGAGAATCGTCACATCTGTTGGAAGTGCCAGGCCGCCCTGAGCCCTACCGCCCCTACCAAAGGCATCTCTCTCCTCGACAGCCAAACGCAAAATGGCCTCCAGAGCGTGTGGCACATCGAAGCACCGGGGTCGGTGCAGACAACAGCGCGGGCCGGATGTCCCCTCTGCCGTCGCTTTGTGCAGTACCTCTCCCCGACCGACCGGGACTTGTTGCGGAGCTGGGCGGAGGGCGAATGCAGGACCAAGTATGAGTATACGGGGTTTTCCGACCGCTTCATGCATGCGTCGTTGAGATGTACTGCTTTTCTTCCTCTTCCTCACGTCGAGGGCGAAGAAGAAGAAGAGGAAGCCCCTTCTGTCAGCTCCTGCGTGGAGTTGCAGCCAGCCAAAGGTACGCAGGACGCAGACTGTCCCTCGTGAGACTCTTGAATGGAAACATTAACGCCTCGTTTTGCAGACGTCGATCATTGCTTGAACACGGGCGTGATCGAAGCCTCGACGGATTCGGATACCACCTGGTCTACCATCAGAACCTGGCTGGCCGACTGCACCGAGCACCATACAGCTTGCTCCTCGGCCAGGCCAGCAGGGCCTCTCCCAACCCGGGTCATAGAGATAACACCCGGCCAGCCTCTCAAGCTCGTCCTCGCCAGCGAGCTCGTGTCATCGTCACCCGCCGACTACGCGACTCTGAGCCACTGCTGGGGCTCGCACATGCCGCTACGGCTCCTGACGTCGAATCTCTCTTACCTGCTGCGCGAGATCCCCCTTGAGAAGCTCAGCAAGACCTTTCAGCACGCCGTCGCCATCGCGCGCCGCATGGAGGTTACCTACCTCTGGATCGACAGCCTCTGCATCATCCAGGACTCCGCGTCCGACTGGCTCGCGGAGTCGGCGACCATGGCCTCCGTCTACTCCAACGCGCGCTTCAACATATCCGCCGCGCATGCGCCGGACGGCAACGGAGGCTGCTTCGCCACCCGCGACCCGGCAGCCGCGCTCGCACCGCTGCACGTACACGTCCCCTGGGCCGGCTGGGGGACCTCGCCGGGTTCGCGCGCCGTGCTGGAGAGACACTGGTGGCGGCGGCACGTGGATGCGGCGCCGCTTCTGCAGCGGGCGTGGGTGTTTCAGGAGCAGGTCCTCGCGAGGCGCAACTTGATCTTTGGGGACGTCGAGGTCCTGTTCGTGTGTCGCGAGACGGTGGCCAGCGAGCAGTTCCCCTCTGGGATCCCGGAGCGGGTCGCCGGGCCGGAGCTGCGAGAGGCCGGCATGTGGTTGCAAGGACAGGTAGAAGAAGGAGACGACGACGACGACGACGACGACGCTCCTGATCGGGGAGAGGACGGAGACGGCAGCAGCGGCACGGACGGGGATACGCTGGTTCTGGAGCTGTGGGATGCCCTGGTAGAGGAGTTTTCCGGACGCAACCTCACGCGCGGGACCGACAAGCTCATCGCCTTCTCGGCCGTTGCGTCGCAGATGCGCCGGCACATCCGCAGCGACTATCTGGCCGGGCTGTGGCGAGTCTACCTGCCGGGCCAGCTGCTGTGGTGGATCAACTCCATGCATGCGGAGCTTCAACCGCGGCCGGAGTGTGATTACATTGCGCCGAGCTGGTCGTGGGCGTCGACTTCTGGAAGCGTGCAGAGCTGGTTCCCCAAGTTCCCCGAGCTGGAAAAGGTCTTGGACGTCGTGGACGTGGAGGTTGTGCCCGTGGACGCCGGCAACCCCTTTGGCCAGGTGAAAAGGGGCGCGGTGTTGACGGTCCGGGGCTACCTTGCCAGGACACAAGGGCCACTGCGTCGCGGCGAGACGTCTTTTGGGGATAGTAGTAGTACTACGGACGAGGAGGAGGAGGTCGATGATTCCAATCTCTGCTTCGGCGTCTATTGGGACTGCTGCTGCAAGACGGAGCAGCCGGGGCAGGCCGAAGAGGATGATGTGTACTACTTGCTTCCCGTCCTCGCCGACTACACCACCAAAGACGAGGTGGGTGCGCCCGGGTCGCTGACGAGTGTGTACGGCTTGGTCTTGCGCCGCATCATCCGCTCTCAATCTTCCGGGAACGACGAGTACGTGCGAGAGGGACGGTTTGACGTGGTCCGCTGGAAAAGAGCTGGCTTCCAGGCGGCATGCCGTGACTTTGCCGCGGAACTGGGGTTGGGGGATGGTAGTGATACTGGCTGGGGAGCCAAGCGCCTGCTCAACATATTGTGACATGAGGTATTGTTAGTCTAACTGGGCATGCGAACAGTATCAGTGTAATTCTTGGATTATAAGCATAAGGAGTGTGTCCATTGATCCATCTATGTAATCCATATTTCCCCCATATACTATAAAATGCCAATGCCTTTTTCATTATGTCGTCCAAAAGTCATCCCACAAGACAGGACGTACAAGGCATCCCGAGAGAACTAAACTACTAATCTACTGAAGTACTTTTGTGTAGATGTGCGAGAAAATTCCGTCAAAAGTTCATAATAAGGGGAATCATCGTCCCTATAGTTGTCATTATATGCCGTCTTCCCTGTTCTGTCATAAAAGAGCAACTTGATATAACAAGCCTAAACCTCACTCTCCTCGCAGCCTTATTACTCATTCAACATCATCTGTTAATGTTCTTACAGAGCAATGGCAGCCACGGCAATAGCAGCCGCCGCCGCCCCGAAAGAGCTCAGCTTGCTACCGCTGCTTCCGGGGATGTTACTCGTGGAAGGCGAGCTGGGGCCGGAGCCAGGGGCCGAGGCGGAGGGGGAGCCGCCGCCGCCCGCCGCAGAAGTGCTGTTGGCACTGGGGAACGGGGCAGAGGCCAAGGTCGTGGGGACGATGACGATGACGGAGGTGGGAGCGGAGGCCGTGGGGAAGGTAGTGGTGAAGACCTCTGAGACGGACGTCTGCGCCACCGCGGTCGTGGTCTGCTCGGAAACGGTAGTCTGGGTCTCGACAGCGCTGGTCTGAGACTCGACGACGGTGGTCGTCTGAGGCGCTGAGACGACAGTGGTGGTAGCAGAAGCACCAGGCTCGGTGGCCGTAATCGTAGTAGAAGCCTCCTCAGTGCTTGACGCAGCAGCAGCAGAGGTAGAAGAAGAAGTCTGGCTAGGCGCCGCAGCAGAAGTCGTCGTCGAGGGCTCCTGAGGCTTGGTGTCGACGTCCTTGCACGAGAGGTCGTACAGCGGCTTCTCGGTCAGCTCGCTGCCGATGACGCCAAAGGTAGGGTTGGGCGCGTCGGGCGCGGCATCCTGCAGCGTGTACCACCAGACGTTGACCTTGCCGAAGTTGGGGCAGCCGACCTGCAGCCAGTACTCGCGGGCGTTGGCCGTGGAGGCGACGGCGAGGCCCGACTTGGGCCCGCTGACGGGCCAGCCGGTCTCGGTGACCCAGACGGGCTTGCCGGGCCCCGCGTTCTGGATCTTGGTGAGGGCGGCCTGGTAGAGCGACTGGGCGTTGGCGATGGAGTTTGTGTTGGTGTTCTCGTAGTAGGGGTACGTGTCCATGCCGAGCCAGTCGACGGCGTCGATGACGGGCTTGTTGGAGTCGAGCACCCAGGCGTTCCAGGTGTCGACGTGGCCGACGGGGGCGTCGGCCAGGCACGAGCCCTTGATGGCGTCGCGGACCTGGCCGATGTAGTTGACAAGGGTAGCCGGCTGGGCGCCGGCGCCGGCGTTGGAGGCGATGCCCGTCGGGGTGATGCGGTAGAGGTCCTCGCTGCCGACGGAGATGCCGGCCACCAGGTCGCCGAGCGACTGGTCGCAGTACTGGCTGATGGTGCTCTTGAGGGCGGCCATCTCGTTGGCGAAGGCGGCGTCGCCTCCCGACGCCCAGAGGCCGAGCAGCAGGCTCGTCTTGGTGCTGAGGGCGGCGGGGATGGCGGAGATGGGCGTGTTGGCGGTGCCGGCCTGGATCATGGTGTAGAGGCGGGCCGAGGTGAAGGCGCCGTCGGTGCCGTCGAGGCCGGCGGCCGTCTTGAACTCGGCCTCGAAGTCGCTCTGGGCCTTGGGCTGGCCGTTTGTAAAGGTTGAGCCGTAGTTGAAGCCCTGGTAGGCGGCGTTGACGGCCGAGATGGCCGTGGCCAGGGCCAGGAGGGTGGAGGATGAGGAGGGCATCTTTTTTTTGTTCTGTTTTCCCTCTTACTATAGATTATGTATGTATGGGTGTTTCGTCGTTATCCAGAAGCGAACGAAGGATGTTGTAGCCCAAGAAAGGAACGAGTGGTTTCTTGGATATATATAAGTGCTCCGTTTATACAAGCGAAGGGACGAGGTCAGACAGCCAACACGGCAACGCAGACCAAGAAACAAGCAGCGATTGGAGATGATTTGAGGTTATTCAAGTACAGGAAGAGAAGAAGAGGGAGAGGGAACGGACCTTTAAAACAAAAGCAGAGCGGCTCCTGAAAAGATGCTGCAGCCACAGGACAGCCAGCCAGCCACCACCGACCAGTCCCAGACAGCCAGTCAGCTAGACAGACGTCAGCCATGGCGGAGTTGCGGAGACGTTGCAGCATGCAATCGGGATACGAGCTTCGTGGGTGATGGGGGTTGAGCATTGGCCGAGATGCCGAAAAAAGCAAGGCACACGATGGGCACACCCACTCGGCCGTCACCCACACCACACCCCACAACCACGCCACGCCACCCGCTAACTTTTCTTTCTCTTTTTTCCTTTTTTCTTTTCTGTGTATTTCCCGCATTCGAGTTTCCATGCAGTGCTACAAATTGTCTTAGTTTCATCCTCTAAATCGAGCCACAAGGGGTCTGCACTAGACGAACCTCTTTTCTTTTACCTGCACACAACAACAAAGCCCAACTGTGGCATATCTCACATCAGAACATCGACAGCTTCTTCGAGGGCCTGTCTTTCGGCCCAAACGGCCTGTCACCGGCCCCACCATCTTCCCAGCCCGGTGGACCAAATGGGCCCGTAGAAGAAGGAAGAAAAGAGGCGAGGAAAAGGACAAGAGCCCACCTCATCGAAAGGGAAAGAAGAAAAATGCCTCTCGATTGGTTCCCCGATCCAGTTGTTCCGATGCGCTGCTATTTTTGTTACTACGATTCTGCTGGTGCTCAGGCCCATGAGAGCTACGTACTTGTAGTAGTATCCAGAGAGTAGAAACCGACGTCATCATCCCTGCCATCACATCATGATCATCCTCCCCGGTAAAACAAACGGACAGACAAAGAACACGCAATGCCCATATTACCACTCAATACTACTATTTCTTGCACAGTGCCTGGTAATAATACATCGTCACCCTATCATTCAGCTGCGAAAAACTCACAAGAAACTCAAAGACAACCTGTAACATACGTCTTGTCTTGGAATCCCAAGCGCCGAGACAACAAAGCAAGACAACAGAAAGCCACAGCGGCTATACCAGCTTCGTACCATCGTCGGCGCTAAGAAAGTTGACAGGCGGAAGTGCCTTTTTACGATACTACCACTAAATCTTTCATGGAGTCCGGTCTCTCGTGATCCGGCGGCGTTCGATCTGCGACGCCGGTGCAAGGTGACAACTTACACGTACTTCTAAACTTGCACACTCGATCAAACAGTTTCTTTGCATCGAAAGGGAATCATCACATCCCTCTAAACCCAGGCCCCCAAGAGACCACATGCCATTTGACGATAGTATATGTACACCCGGACAGTATTACCTCTAGGCAGTATCTTACCCCATGCAGACCGCCCCCGTGACCTCGTGTTCACCAAACATCGTATTCCAAACCCGCCAACGCACACATTCGCGACTACTAGTACCACAGTACACCGCCTCTATATACACAAGTCAATTCTTCCCAGTTCAGAATACCTTACCCTCAAAAATGACAACCCCCTCTCTCCCCGAAGAAACAAAGTAGCTTGAATCTGTAGTAGAACAGAGGTCCTCAGAGTTCAGCAAAGCCTGCCCGGCTCCTCGGAATCCCACGTTGTGGCTTCCCCCCCCCGCTAACGCAGCCAAAGAGCTGGTAGTACCTAGTCTAGGTTAAACTGGCTCAAGGGACCACACATGGTTGCG